GTTTTTTAAAAAGTGGGGATTCCTTTTTCTGTGTACCATAATTTGTGGGTGATGAACTGCCTGTTGGAAATTGGTAATGAATGAGAACAAGTATGCTGAAACCAGTTGTAGGGCAAAAAAAGGAGACAGCCAGTCAACTTCTATTGGGTAATCTGGTAATCTGGTAATCCTAGTTTCAGCTTCATAGCAAACGGGTCACCCCATAGTTGCTCCGCTTCTGTGCCAACAAAAAACACACGTAGCTCACAGTGTCATGCCATGCACTCAACTCAGAAGCTGGGCGACGAAACTATATCCTTCCAGTCTACAAATGGAGCAAAAATGCAATGGCCACCGCCTGGCAGAAGTAAAAAAAAAAACATTTGCCACGGCCAAAAAAAAGTGGCCGTGCCTAGCGTCCATTTTGACCTGAAGTATTATTGTGTATAGTGAGCATAGAGACATTGTGATGGCTGCTGCATTGGGGGATGGAGAATGAATGAGTCAGACCCATGTGCTCGGATGTCAGTACGGATAACAAGTAACAAGTAATAGTTTATAGGCTCTGACTAAGGGGGCTGTGTGGTCTCGAGGTATGGCATCTGCCTCGAGTGCTGGAGGTCCTTCGTTCAAACCTCGGTGAAGGCTGGGATTTTTCATGTGGACTTCTAGTAATTTCCCCTGATCTCTGGGTAGTAAGACCGGATGCCCGTGTGTATTGTTGCACATGTAAAAAACAAATACCTTGGCAGTTGGAAATCGAAAATGAGTAGCCTAACTGCGCTGCCCAGGTAAAATTTGGAGTTAGAAATTTACTCAAAGTATTTCAGGATCCTCGCTAGCGCAACAGAGTCTGTGCACTGTGCTGAGATTCTTCAGACTCAGGCTTGAGTTAGAAGTAGAACAGAGCACTTATGGGTTACACCTGTGTGCCATGATGTTGATCCGTTGAATAAACATAAACACAATCTCTGACTTCAATCTCAGTATTCTGAACTAACTGCTGTTTCTTGGAGATCTTGTTTGGTGCACCAGGTTTTACTTCCATGGTGTTTTCTTGCAACTGGATCTGATGGCCAACTTCTTCCAAGAGTTGAGACAGTTGAAGGATGTGTGGTGAAGTTTGGGAGGCTGTCTTACACTGGCAGATAAAAGTGTGTTTTAGGGATGAAAATGCACACAAATTGACGGGTATTATTTTAATGTAACACCTTACATTTGCATATAGCTTGATTTCCTTGTATTATTCAACTTTTTTTGGTACCAGAAAATTTCACAGGAAATTCCAAAGTGAAGAAGTAACCATGATGAAAAATCAAGAATGAATTACTTTCAAAATGGCAATATTCACAGTGGTAGTGACCGTATGGGAAAGCCATATTTCTTTGGTGTGTTCTGAACAAAATGTTAAAAAATAAAAGACACATTACGCCAGAGGAAAAGCAAGGGCTAAATTCATTAACATATTAGGCATTGCCTGGGATAGTAGGTAGGTAAGTTGTACCCCACCAGGACATCACACTAAGCGATAAACACCTGGTGACCCAAAGTGCCACCATGTGGATAAGGATCACCCATGGAGAGGTACTGGAAACCCCGCACAGCCATATTTAAGGTCCGGCTATATTTAGAGATCCTGGCAAAAGCCATGGTGGGCTTCAAAATAACTAAAATATTTTATCCCACAAGAGGCGGACGATTAGTATATTGCCTGGGAATGAAAGAGTGAATAAAAACAGTAAAGATTTTTGAGCAACATTCTGAGTCTGAATAAGTTCAGAACTGAGGACCAAACGTCGTTCTTAGTGGACAAAACAAACAAGGATTCAAGGAGAATTGTACATAAATAATGTGTTCCGGGGACAGTAAGCACCTATATATGCACTTTTATACTTACTGAGGAAGACTGAGCAGCCCTGACATCCTCCAGAAAGAATTTATATTGTTTCCTTTAAAAAAAATGTCAGTTAACTTGTTGTTTAGCGAAGAGACAAATATTTAATGCCATTTAAAAAAAAAACACAGTATAAATTTGTTTTTATTTTTAGGTAATAACACACAAGAGTTCCTGGAAAACAGAGGAAAGTCAAGGTCACGCAAGGAGTCAGTGACCCTAGAAGGAGGAGACGATGCTCTGGAGCGATTGAAAGAATCAGAAAAACTCATCGCTGAGCTTAACTTGTCCTGGGAGGAGAAGCTGCGGAATACAGAGTCTATCAGGAAGGAGAGGTATAAAGATTATTTTTTTGTCACAAAAAACATTTGTGATGTCACTAAGGTATGTAATCTCATAGCTAAAGTGGGAAGTGTTTAAATCTGTTCTCAGTGGTTACTAGTAGCAATTTTCAAAAATATCCAGTTCAACCTTCAAGGTTTTAATTGTGATATATAGTGTTCCTCGAGTTCTCAGAGCATATACTTTTTATTTTATATATCATGTAATTATTTATATAAAACAGACTGAATTTTTATTGTTTCAAAAATTGCTATGACTTTATGATTATAATACAAAATATACAATGAATAATTAGATAACATTGTGTCATTAAAATGGTGGAAATAATTTTTAATTATACTATGAATATTTAGATATTGTTTCTATTACGTTGTTACTATTATGTCAGTAACATGGTTGGTGTATTATGCCCTTAGTACAGTAGTTGGTTATCCTCATAGATTTTATCTAAAGGAGAAATATCTTTAAATATGGCGTGGGCATTCCTCACCCTAAATGTTAGCTCTAGTCATACATTGCTTGACTTTGCCATGCAGATCACTAGGGCCTGTCTGTGTGCAACAAGTTCCGCTGTAATGGGTTACTGTCTTCACTGCCAGGTGTTTATCACTATGTGGGTATATAACACAGGGAAAGTGAACCTGAGGGTCTAGGGCCTCTTGGCTAGTGCAGTCAGCACGAACTGTTCAGATAATGATTTTTATTATGCCCCGACAGAAAAAAATGTCTATCCCTTATTGAGGATTGAATCTGGCATGAGAACCCAGTGTTCTAACTATTTAGCCAGCCATTCCGATTGGAAGCGTTAAACTTTTGTATAATCTAAGTCATGGCAGAATGAGATGAGCGGCTTATCTCCCTTTTTTTGCTGTTGCTTTCATTTCTCAAAAATTGTCCTCTATTAATTTTATAAGGCTAGTTACACCCCAGAACTACATCAGCTAAAAAAAAAATGTAGTCCATCCAGTTGGGAGTCCAACTTCATCACAGTCAGGTCACCCCATAACTGCTCTGTTCTTGTGCCAATGAAAACCGCATAAGATACCCATCTGCTGTCCAATGAGAAAAGTCAAACAGATAGCAGCCTCAGAAAATCCTACAGCTCGTACATGCATTACATGCACAACCATGATGCTTCAACAGGCCTCTTATTGCACATGTCCAATTTTAATTACAACATGATTGAAAAATTTAGAACATAATAAATGACAAATCTTAGCAAAAAAGTTAAAACATAAATCTTGTCTGCTTTGTACAGTCAACTCCAGTTGCTGGGAAGCAATGGAGGCTGTTGAAGGCACTTCTTTTAGTCCATCATGTGTGTCAGAAATTGCCTTATTTCTGTGCCACACCTTATATTCTCTCTCCTGGAAATGACTGTGTTGTGTGATCAGTTCTTATTTTTGTTTGATATCTTGTCCATTCTCTCCTCTCTCTTTTTTTCTCTGTGTCTGTCTCTCTCTGTCTGCCTCTATCTTTGTGCCTCTCTCCCTCTGTGTTTGGGTCTCTTTGTGTCTGTACTCCCTCTCTCTGTATCTCTCTGTCTTTCTGTCAGTCTCCCTCTCCCCTTCTCTGTCTCTGTCTCTCTCTCCCTCTCTCTCCCTCTCTCTCCCTCTCCCCCCCCCCTTCTCTCTCTCTCTCTCTCTCTCTCTCTCACACATTCATCAGCAAGTTATGTTGTGTGATGATTAGTTGTCTCATGTATGTGTGACCTCTTGTTTCTTCCTCCCAGGGAAGCTGTTCTGGCTGAGATGGGAGTAGCTTTAAAAGAAGATGGTGGAACAATTGGAGTCTTCTCCCCTAGAAAGGTTAGTAATAGGAGCCTGACTGCATTTGATTTCTGTTTGCATCTAAAAATCTCTCCAAACATTGTTTTGGTAGTCTGGTGAAAATGAAATGCATGAAACATCCATGATGACAAGATCACCGGACTAGACTTAATCACTGCTAATCTGCATGTGCTGTACTGAATTCTAAAATTATTCTCCATAAAAGTGAAGTTTTATGTGAGTCTTGCACACAAAGTTACTTGTGTTAATTTTAGATTTCATAAATGTACTATTATTGTGCGATCCTATGTTTCTAATCAACTTATTATTGTAATAGCCATTAATGTAGTATATTATACTTTTTTCAGTAAATTTATGCTTTGGGCTTCATTAATGTAATAAATACTCATTTTATTTTATTTTGGTTGTAATTTTTTAGAATTGCCAGTTTGTTATTTAACTTTTACCAGTTTATCAAATAAACTTTGTCAACCTGCAGTTTGATGTTGTCACATTTCATTATCAATGCCGGCGATTCCACTAAATCAGTGGTTTTTCCACCTTTTTCAGGTGGTATCCCACATAAATTTATGGCAGAACTTATGGCTTCCCCTTTCCCCTCTTCCCAGATTTAAATGAAATAAGATTAAAAAGAGGAGGAAAAAATAAAAATCGCAAGCCCTATTAACAAGAACTAGAAGAAAAACATGCAAATAACTAAAAGTGTTGAATAAAAATAATTTTGTTGGCTTTTTACTCGTAGTTTAAAAAACATTTATTTATAAATAAACTGAAACAAAAAATGCTAGTGCAGATTATTATAAGTACAAATGCACTCACTTTCAAACTGTTTGACACCCCTCCCCCCCCCCCCCCTTTTTTTTTTCCCCTCGTGAAATTCCTTGCACCCCTTAAATTGAAATACCATTGCTGTATATAAATATTCCATGATATTCTTTTGCAAGCTTGCTTTAAAAAAATATGGAATACATTTCTACTGTTTTATTGTCTTGCAGGACCCAAATCTGGTTAATTTAAATGAAGACCCACTCATGTCTGAATGTCTTCTGTATTACATAAAGGAAGGAACAACCAGGCAAGTTTGTTAATGTTTATGTTGGATTCATTGTCAGTTCACATAATCACAATTTATGTTCAGATTTTGAGAGAGAATGTGATGGTCTGCTGCTAGTTATATTTTTATATTATTACTGGAAATACATCAAGAATTGACATCACAGCAGTAGTGGCATTCCCACATATGCTCTGTCCCCTTCTTCAGTCTCCAATAAAGGGTTACCATGGTGCTAGTTGCAACCAGTCATTTTCCCTGTTTGTTGAAAAACTGTACAGCCCTCTCCTCACTCCCCACTGAATCAGTCTCTTGAGATATGGATACTCTGTTCTTTGCACTATTCACTTGAAGCCTTCCCGGTGTTACCTTTGTCATAAAGAAACTCACTGGCCAGACAAGTGGCAGCAGCCAATCTATTAGTTTGCTCATTACCCAAAACACCAGAATTTTCAGGGGGAAAAAAGCCATGTTATAATTTTTGGAAATTAAATGCAAAGAAAAACAAACATAAATCATTGGCTGGTAGTTTTGATTTTATTTTTGGGCTAGATCAAAATGAGGTTGATGTTAAGGTATTTATTCTGAGAGCAGATAATGTTGGGATGTGAAGTCTGAGGCTTTCACACAATCCAAGTCAGGACATATGTGGTAGGGTAAACAGTTCCTTTCCTCATTGCCTTTACTTCCAAAGAACTGACTTTTTTTCCAACATTTTGCAGGGTTGGTCTACAAGGTGCAGAGAATCAAAATGATGTACAGCTGAGTGGTTCCAACATCCTGGAGGAGCACTGTCGCTTTGAATGCCAAGATGGTAATTGATAAAGTAACCTTATTTGTGAGAAAACTGGAGTGCATTGTGACGGTAGGAAAGTTGAAGGGGAGGAAAGGCAGAGGCAGATCAAGAGAACAGATGCTGGACAGTTTGACATTATGGCATGGAAGATCATCTGTGTTAAAGTTGACTGAAAGTACATGAGTCAAACGGTTGTGGATAGTCATGACTACCAATGCCACACAACATGGTCTTTAAGAAGAAAAATATTTGTGAATGTTTAAGACAAGTTATTGTATTTCTCTATGTATAATATGCTATCTATTTCCAAATTTCTAAGTTTAAAATTAAGGATTGTCTTTTACACTGAATTTGATTAAAATATTTATTTCCTAATTTTAAGCTAGGAAAATATGGGTTGACATACACGGGGGCTTCTTATTCATAGAAAAATATAGTACTTGTACAGCAGTTTATCACATATACTCATTAACAAATATACACATATAGTCTTTGGGATTTGTGTCATCCGTGTCCTATTATCACCCTCTTACATAAATTGATAAACTGTTGATAAAAACATTTTCTGCATTGTCTAATATTGCTGCTTTTTAGTTTATCTGATGGTGCCTGTTCTTGTTGTCATGTTGCCTGTTTGTCCTGTAATAGCCTCCTTCTTAATCTTTCACATTCTCTAATTAATTACTTATATATAGGCATTGATTGACAAGCAGATAACAGCATAGAATTAGTCACCAGAAGACATGCAAAAAAGTGAATATTAGCCATGCCACACACTACATGCTGATTACTTTCTTGTCAAATGATGCTTGTTGAAGAGAAAAAAGGGGAACTGTTCACAGCTTCATTCATTTATTTGTATTTTATTTATTTGTTTGTCTCATGCAGGGGTAGTCACTCTGGTTCCTTGTGATGGTGCTCTCTGTTATGTGAATGGTCGACAAGTGACTGAGCCGGTGATCATGAAGACTGGTGCTCGTCTCATCCTAGGGAAGCACCACGTGTTCCGGTTTAATCATCCACAGCAAGGTAAGTGTAGATAACACTTCTTATTCTTCATTTCTTCATTATTTAGTTTCTGAATGAAACATAAGTCCTCAGCATACTCAAAATAGTTCATGTATCAAAAACCTGTTCATTCCAGTTTGAAAGGTTTTAGTGGAAATTAAACAGTTGTTCACCAACTTTCTTTAGTTGTTTTAACAGGGCATACTTGTCTAATGCATTGTTGTTCCTTTTTAGTCTCTGCTAATTATGTTCAAAATGACCATTTAAATTATGTACTTAAACTTTTGCTGACCTACATAATTTGCACGGGGGAATGATTTCATAGAACATCAAAGAATTAAATGGTTTAGTCATCTGTTCAGAATGGAACCAAATCAACCAGCAGCTAGAACGTACTGTATGAGAATAGCAGGCTACAAGGCAAGAGGCTGACCAAGAAAGAGTTGGTTGGAGAAGGTAGGGTTGAGGGGCTAAAAGAGAGACAACAGTTGTGTGATATGTTAACACAAGCTAAACAACTAGCAAAAAGATAGGAAACTACGTATAATTTTTCTCTGTGATGTTTGCTGGCATAAGCAGTAGGACAAAAGTCAGAAGAAAGACATAATTTGTAGACTGATAATTCAATTTCTATTGACACATAATTTGACCTATTTCTGTGTTTGATTTGAGAATTCTAATTGTTTTCTCTGTTATAGGAAAAAAGTTAGTTGCCTATCCTTTACAGGACGTTGCAGAACCAATCCCAGCATTTTATGGCTGTTGTGGTTTTTCTAGACAAATTTATGTCCAGTAGTTTGCCATTGCTTTCTGGACAGTCAACCTTCAATACCACTGTCGAAACAAATGCAAGTACAAGGCCCGCAGCTGGAATCAAACCTGGCACCCAGCATTACGAAGTTCATTCGCAACGCCTTAGCCACAGACGCCGACTAGCTAAAGAAGTCAGTAACTAATGTCAGTCACAAATACCACACCACAATGTGTTATTTTGTATTTACTCTATCATGTCTACTCTGGCATAAAATTATATACATCAGTCTTATTTTGAATCTCTTTCAGCTCGTGCCAGCCGAGCTATCATGAGTGAATCGCTCATGATGGAATCTACCGATAATCCCATCAGTGAGTCATCTTTTCTCTTTCTTTTTGTAATTTTCTTTATCGAATAATTATAAATTAAAAGTGTAAATGATGAGAATTGCCAGACACATGAAAATTTAACGATACTTGAATCATTTGGCAAGTAAATTAGTGTATTTAGTGATGCCATGGTAGCTGAAGATTGTTTTTTTTTTTTATCTACCGCCCTCCAAACTTGAAGATGGACAAGCACAGATTGACATGAAGTGAATAATTTTCTATATAAAATAAATAAAAATTTACTGGCTATGAAAGTGTAATTACTGTTACCTTTAAATTTTAATCTTTTAACATAGAGAGTTTAAATATTTTTTATCTTAATTGCAATAAATTTAATTTATTAATCATGTGATTTTTTATTGCCACCTCTAATCACATGTCAGATTTTGGTATTTACACAATTATTCTTTCAATAGCTGAACCTGTGGACTGGACTTTTGCCCAACTGGAGTTGTTAGAAAAACAAGGCATCGACCTGAGAAAGGAAATGGAAAGTCGTTTGATGTTGCTGGAGGAGCAGTACCGCAAGGAGAAGGAAGAGGCAGACTTGCTGTTTGAGCAGCAGAGACAAGTATGTCTTCATTCTGAATGTTGCCCTAACATCCAACAGTTTAGTAAAAGTAGAGTTAAGGGCCTTTTTTTTTGGAAAAGGCCCTACGAGAATGTGATACTACACTCACATTTTTATAGACCAATCAGCACTCATTGGGTGATATGGTCATCAAAACAGTGGCCATCTTTACTTCCCAGGACTTTACCTGGTAGCCATGTTAGTCTGTGTCGACCTGGGAGACAAGGTCATTTTTGAAAAAAAACTCTCATTGCATATTTGAACCCAAGACCTTTAGGTCAGTGGTCGGCGTTTAACTGTTTCACCACTGTGGCTTCCATTTAGCATCTTAGTTTACATAATAAATCTATTGTGTCACAGAGGTAATTTTTTTTTAATACATGCTACAAAATCATAAATCTCAATGGTTCTTTCAGAATTTGCCATGTACAGTTAGAGCATACATTAGTCATCCATCAATTGAGTTTCTAAATTCTTCCTCCTCTTTGCATTCACTGGCTGAAAACACGAGCAGAAAGTTCTGGTTTTTCCTCCACTTCTGGACTTGTTATAGAACTTCTTCTGCATATACATTTGTTTTATAGATCTGCTTTTTTGTATGCATACTATTAGTTACTTGCCATTCATGTAGATGCATTCTGATTTCAGAGGGAAAATCCCTAGCTAGTCACCTTCTAAGATATGCTTAAGGATGTAGGTCTTTTCTCCCCCCTCCCCCTTTTCCCCTTCCCAATAGGGCTGTGGATCCTATACAAAAAAGTATCTCAATTCTAATGTTCAATTTTTTGAGATATCTTATATCCATTCTCACCTTAATGTCTATGGTCAGTGATACATAGGGTAAAACAATGGCTGGCTGTAGTATGGAGGGATGACTTTCATGAGAGAGATTTATGTGGGTATGTTATGGTACGCGGCGTCCGTGGCTAAGGCGTTGCGAGTCCGACTCGTAAGCCAGCATACCGCGATCGAAACCCACTGCAGGCTGCATGGATTTTTATCGTGGTATGGGACGTCGCAGGTCGACCCAGCCTAAAATGGGTACCAGGATGGGCTGTCCTGGGAAAGTAAAGACAGCCGGCGTAATCCTGACCACATTACCCACAGAGTGCTGATGGTCTGTAAAAATATGGGACGCTCTGCCCATGTGCCCGATGCGCCGAAAGGCGTGAAAAGGCAACTTTACTTTACTTTACTTATGTTATGGTACACATGAGTGCATGGCAGTGAGATGATCATTGGTTGGCTATTTTGTTTCTTATAATCCACACTATATATATCTTTGGTCATCATCTCTGTCCCCCAAACATGTATCTTCTTTACCGACATCTATCTCATGTACTGACATCTGTTATCTATCTTGTGTGCTGCCATCTATCTTGTGTGCTGCCATCTATCTTGTGTGTTGCCATCTATCTTGTGTGCTGCCATCTATCTTGTGTGCTGCCATCTTTTTTGTGTGCTGCCATCTATCTTGTGTGCTGCCATCTATCTTGTGTGTTGCCATCTATCTTGTGTGTTGCCATCTATCTTGTGTGCTGCCATCTATCTTGTGTGCTGCCATCTATCTTGTGTGCTGCCATCTATCTTGTGTGCTGCATCTATCTTGTGTGCTGCCATCTATCTTGTGTGCTGCCATCTATCTTGTGTGCTGCATTTATCTTGTGTGCTGCCATCTATCTTGTGTGCTGCATCTATCTTGTGTGCTGCATCTATCTTGTGTGCTGCCATCTATCTTGTGTGCTGCCATCTATCTTGTGTGCTGCCATCTATCTTGTGTGCTGCCATCTATCTTGTGTGCTGCCATCTATCTTGTGTGCTGCCATCTATCTTGTGTGCTGACATCTATCTTGTGTGCTGCCATCTATCTTGTGTGCTGCCATCTATCTTGTGTGCTGCATTTATCTTGTGTGCTGCATCTATCTTGTGTGCTGCCATCTATCTTGTGTGCTGCATCTATCTTGTGTGCTGCCATCTATCTTGTGTGCTGCCATCTATCTTGTGTGCTGCATCTATCTTGTGTGCTGCCATCTATCTTGTGTGCTGCCATCTATCTTGTGTGCTGCATTTATCTTGTGTGCTGCCATCTATCTTGTGTGCTGCATCTATCTTGTGTGCTGCATCTATCTTGTGTGCTGCCATCTATCTTGTGTGCTGCATCTATCTTGTGTGCTGCCATCTATCTTGTGTGCTGCCATCTATCTTGTGTGCTGCCATCTATCTTGTGTGCTGTCATCTATCTTGTGTGCTGCCATCTATCTTGTGTGCTGCATCTATCTTGTGTACCATCAGTCATTTCTGATGCAGATATTCTTCATTGCCTTGCTACCAGAGTGCCCAACACTTTCTGTCTTGTCTTTATCTTTTTGCCTCTCACAGATCCTCACTTCTCTTGACAAGTCCTACCTTTTAACTAAACAAGAGAGATTCCTGCCCACCCCCCTCCCCCTCTCTCTCTCTCTCTGACTCTCTCTGTCTCTCTCTGTCTGTCTCTGTCTCTCTCTGTCTGTCTCTGTCTGTCTCTCTCTGTCTCTCTCTCTCTCTATCTATCTATCTATCTCTCTCTCTCTGTTCATTGGTATCTCAAATGTATCTTTCTTTAAGAGATATATTCAGAAAATGTGTATCATGCAACAGATGTGGACACTGTGACAAAGATTGTCATTCTGGCATTGGACTATTAAGTGGCACTGAAAGGTGCTTGTTCAATCGCACAGCACCAGTCCTGCAGAACTGACAAGAGACCTTCAACAATTTGTCAAAACCTATTACTATATTATAAGAGTACAATCATAATCCAGATCTATGACACCGAAGTAACCAACTACAACACTAATGGTGATTTTACATTGATGGCTACTTCACTGAAACATTCCCAAGATCCTGACAGAAACCAGATTTTATTATGAAATTTCCGTGAACTGATTTTTGCTATTTTCAGGATTATGAGAATCGAATCCAGTGCCTCCAGGAACAGGTGGAACGCCACTCCATGATATCAAGCATTGCTACCACTGGCATTTTTGAGGAGGAGGAGGAAGAGGAAGGTAAACTAACTCTTTAATATAATTGTTTACATTTAACAAACATCTTTAACAAATGATGACCAACAAATTGGGTTCTGAGAGTCCACCTAAGGTCATCTAATAGGTGCTGGATATTTTTTTTTTCTTGAAAGTATTTGTGTCTTTCAAGGTCAAAGGGTAAGAAATAAGGTGTACAAACTTCCTGTTTGCAATAAACATGTCTGCTGATTTTTAAAATAAATACAAAACAACAGACCCAAGCGAATGGTTTATAATTTTTAAATAATAACAAAACACATAACTACAGACCCAAAACACAAGGTTTATAATTCATAAATAATAACACAATACAGAACTGCAGACTCAAGCAAAGGGTTTATAATTCATAAATAATAACAAAATACTGAACTACAGAGACAAGCAAAAAGTTTATAATTCATAAATATTAACATAACACAGTGACTACAAACCCAAGCAAATGGTTTATAGTTCATAAATAATAACAAAACACAGAACTACAGACCTAAGTAAATGGTTTATAATTCATAAATAACAAAAACTGTGATCTCCATAGTAGAGGTTGGCTGCAATGTATTCAACTATGAGAATACTATTGGTGAGGCCCTAGTTGCTCCCTGGTTAGATTCCTGTTTTACTTTCTTTTCTCTTCTTTTTAGTATTCGCCGGCTGTAAACTCCAGCGGAAAGTTTTGGTTATACATTCATTTCTAGACTTTGGTTGGTTTTGTTCCAGAACATGAGTTTTGCATGCACATCTGTTTTACAGATCAAGCTTATGCGTATGCAGACTGTTGGTTCCTGGCCTCTCAGATGTACTCCGACTTCGAGGGAAACTCCCTAATTCATAACCTTGTACAACATGCTTGTTAGGGGGGCAGTGGGTCTGTTCTCCCCCTCCCCCCTCACCCCAAGAATGGGTCAGAACCCATGTGGGGAAGCCACTGTCTGAAGACCATGAGAACTGTCTTTTTTTTTCAAGCCACTCACAATGGTAATCGAACCATGGTAAAAGTCATTTCAAATAAATAGATAAACATGTGTTGACTATACTGAAAAAAGTGCATGCAGAGGGATAAAAGTCATTTCAAATAAATAGATAAACATGTGTTGACTATACTGAAAAAAGTGCATGCAGGGGGATAATGAGGGCTTGGCTGAACCAGTCTCAAATAGAATACCATACTGGCCTCTTTGAAGAAAATTTTAAAAAAGTGAGGAACTAGATTTGCCTCCCAAAAATGTAATGGAGTTATGCAGAATTACCAGGGACACACACAAATGCAAACAGATCTTCTTGCAGAAAAGAAGATAATTAAGCTGTAGATGATAATGATGGAATTAACAATTTGCCACGTGGCCTCCTAATTTGTTTCATTTGCTGTAAGACTGTAATTGTAACAGTGGCACAACTACACATGTTACAAGTCAGTCAGAGGAGAGGTTGGGTTGGGGCAGCATGTGAGCTGGCTGCTTCGCAACAATGGCTTTCCTTATGATAAAGGAGAAATATTTTTCTTAATTCTTGTCTTGATAACAACAAAGAAATGATTTTCTTTTAATTCTTGATGACAGCAAAGAAATGTTTTGTTGTACACTTCACAGAAGTTCAGTGGGCAGAGCGAGAGAAAGAGCTTGCAGCTTGGGCTTTCAGGAAGTGGAAATACCATCAGTTTACTTCTCTCAGGGTATGTTCATGTTTGAGGCCCTTTGGCACTGTTTGTGCAGTAGAATTATGCAGATATTTCAGCAATGAATTTAAAAATGTTTGTGACTTTTTTTATCACAGCTTGTATTTATCTTGACTAAAAGCCAAGCTTCATTTACAACTATTTAATTTTGTCGATCAATTTTTTTTTTTTAAGGTTTTTTTTTTTTTTAGATAAATAATGTAAAAAATTTATTACCATTTTAATAAGAACCAGTTTTGTGAGATTTGTTCATTTCTGTTACAGTTCCCACTGTTTTTATCCTGTTGTTACTGTAGACTGTTTCGTATTGCCAGGATGACCTGTGGGGGAATGTTGTCTTTTTGAAGGAGGCCAATGCTATCAGTGTGGAGCTGAACAAGAAGGTAACTGAAACCATTTGACCCATGTTTTTACTCAGTCAGTTCCAATTATTCCGTCTGTACCTGGCATGTCAGCCTTTGATCTGAGTATTCAAAAAGAATTGCAGAAAAACAGAACCCATTCTCATAAACTGATGTGCTTCAGCCATTTAAAAGATGTAATAGTTTTATTTCTCAGCAGCAAGACAAGCAACAGTGAAAATGACAGTGGACAAAGGACGTTAAAGGTATTTGGGGTTGAAGAAATGATGAAGGATCAGGACCTTGTATGGGGAGCTGAGATATATGAAACAGTCTGTATAATTAAGATGATAATGATGATGTAATTCTTATGGAATACGTTTGCCAGTATACTTTATCACTCTTTAAATACAAAAGAACAAATGATGATGTCCTCACGGTACAAAGTCTGGTCATTCGTAGCATTATTAACCAAACTAGAGTCTTGTCAAAGATGTCCCATTAAGATGAAGAGAGAGGTCTTTGTCATTGCAATTTCTGATCAAGGAGAATCAACCAGTCCACATCTGAGCTCATGAAAAATCTCACATTTCAAGTCACCCTCCCAAATCAAGATTCATTATTTCAATCATCTGTAATCTCTTTTATCAAGTAATCATGTTAATAATCTTCATTATAACAGTTAACAGTTCTTTTAAAGTAAACACAAGATTCGCTCTTTTTTCTATGGCTAGTTCTGCCACCAGTATTTTAGTTTTTCATTGTGAATTTTATGCAGAGAACTGAGCTCAGTGTTGTCTGCTTGCTGGAGGTTCATTGTTCTCCCTAATCCATTACTGCATCAAAAGCCAAACTTACCGGTTGATAATTAAGAAATTATAATTAATTTAAAAGACAAAATTCCATAGTTAACTAAATTTATCATGTTGAGTTGAGTTGAGTTGAGTCAAGAATTGACATCAGAGCACTCGGGGCATTCCCATGTGTGCTCCATCCTCATCTTCAGCAGCCAGCGCAGAGTTCCAGTACTAATGGTACCGGTCACAATCTGGTTATTTGTCCGTTTTGCCTTTCCTTTTGACTGTAATGATTCGGCCAGACCCTCTGGTTACACCCAGGTGCCTCATTCTCTCCAGGCCATAATAATCTTGTTTCTCTACTGATTCAGTTGCTTGTTGCCAAAGGACCTTGACCACATCTGCCTTGTCATGTATCAATTCACCACTTAGTGGTGCAGATCCAGCCAATCTGTCTGCCTGTTTTTTACCCACCATGCCGGCATGGCCTGGAGAAAAGATCCACAGTATGCTCACTACCTATTATCATTCCAGTGAAGCTTGCCACTCTGTTTGAAGCATCCCTGTCTTCACCTTTCTCAGCATGCTTTCATAGTCTGTTACAATTACGACTGGTGTATGTTCTCTATGCACTGGAGAGCTGCAGATACCGCCTTCACCTCTATTCTAATGCTTAAAAAAACATTTAATTTAAATTTAATTTAAATTAAATACTAAATTTATCATGTGCTTTATAGATAAAAAATATTTCAGAAGGGTGTAAAAAATAAATTAATCATTTGTTTTTATTTGTTATTCTTATTAACTTAAACTATACCTTCTCACTTATACATAAGATGTATTTGTTCAGTTAACAAACTTAAATATATTTTCTTATAAGTTGTTAACTTGTTCTGCTCATAAACCCCAAACTATGCTAACTTCTTCAGGTGCAGTTCCAGTTTGTCCTGCTGACAGACACTCTGTATTCTCCACTGCCACCAGAGTTACTTTCCCATGAGGATCGAGATGATGCCAGGCCATTCCCCAAAACCATTGTGGCTGTAGAAGTTCAGGATACCAAAAATGGAGCCACTCACTACTGGAGCCTGGAGAAATTAAGGTAAACAAACAAATATTTCCATTCAAGCATTTCCAAACTTACTCACTGTCATGTTCATAACTTTACATACTTTGCAGATCATAGACTTTTTTTTTTACAAGACAAAAGGCAGTTGGTAATTAAATTTTTTGGCTATCCTCCAAATAATGGTCCCAAATTATCTAGGCTTAAAATTTACCCTAACAGAACCTCAGTCATATGTAAATTGTGGACTTCTTTCCAGTAAATATACTGTATACCGCTGGAAACACTCCTCCGAATAACGGTCTCAAATCATCGAGGGTGTCAACAGCTCCGACACAGAGTGCTAGGTTTAACTTCTCCGCTGGGTCCTAGTTTTAACTTCTCCCCTGGGTCCTAGTTTTAACTTCTCCTCTGGGTCCTAGGTTTAACTTCTGCCCTGGGTCCAAGGTTTAGCTTCTTCCCTGGGTCCTAGGTTTAGCTTCTCCCCTGGGTCCTAAGTTTAGCTTCTCCCCTGGGTCCTAGGTTTAGCTTCTCCCCTGGGTCCAAGGTTTAAGGTTAGGGTTAGGGCAAGAAGTTTTGCAATTATGACACCCCACAAAAATCTGTCACAACAGTGGAAATGCAACACTGTCAATTGAAGGGTTATGGATGGAAGTTACGCGGAGGCAATGTTACCATGGCAGGACTAGTCACACGTTGTTTACTGAATATTTAGCGCAGTTTCATGTGGCAGTCACAAACATTAAGGCCCTGTTAGGGTATTTTTTTAGCCTCAATAATTTGTGACCATTATTCGGAGGATAGCCAATTTTTCATTGTGTCCTGATTAAACTTTTATTTATATAAACTTATAAATTTATTTATAAACTTTTATAGAATATATAAACTTTATATTCTATACAGATAATTTGTTTAAAAAATTTTTTTTTTTTTTTAACTTTTATACTTTATCTGATATTGAATGGCACACACCAGACTTGTTATCACATTTGTGCCAATAGCCAGGGGTGGAGGAGCACAATTTGGAGGATGTCTTATCTTCGGACAAGAAAATGCAACTTTATAACACAAATTTGTGGCTGGGCAGACCAGACCCTTAGGCTTGGTTGACAGCTGGTCTAGGAGAGAAAATCCAACAAGCAGACATACAGGGCACTGTTCTTTTGATTCAGCAGCTTCTGTAGCATGCTATGTTCCAAACATGTTGGTGTTATCTTCTCTGTGGTGGAAAGCAGGTCGAGGAAATATTTATTAAGAATATATAAAGATATATTTAAAGGGACTTATCAATAAACATAAACAAAGTGAGCTTTAAATTAAATATATTTATTAGGCATGAAGACAATATGTAGCAGGTGACATATGCTGTGACCTAGTGACCTCTGTCACTGAGGCCTAGGGAAGTATTTTATGTTAACTTAGCTTTAAAAAAGCTATTAGTTTCAAAAGAACCACCCTTTAATGCTATTTTTAGCTAATATATTTATATTCTGAGCTTCAAAATGTTTGCGTAGGTGCAAACTCAGCATTAACTATGCATTTCACACACATGTCACTGTAGGCAAAATAGGAAAGTGCACATGTCACTAGTCAAATTAGGAAAGTGCATTTGCGGGAAATGGGACTCAACCTGAAGGGTCAGTTTTGCAGAGTCTCTGGGTAGCAGAGTGACCCATTGCCTCTTCTCATGAATAGAGCTTTGAGGTAATTCTGGAGTCATAAAACCAGATTACGTTGCCTGCATAGCTTTAGGATGTCTGTGACTGCCACAAAATGTCTTTCAATGTAACTGACTGTTTTTGAATTAAACTAATACTGTCTGTAAATGTGATCAAATGTCTCTTAACTGTTGGTATCTGTCCCTGAAAGTTTGTCTTTGGCAGTCTATGGAGTCTGTGGATTTTACTGACTGTCTCTGTGTGTCTTTGTCATTGACCATCTCTGTATGTTTCTCTCAATGTTTCTTTGTTTCTGTTTGCAGGCAACGGCTAACGCTGATGAGAGAAATCTACAATGAAGATTTGTCACCAGACACTCCAGAAGCTAAACAAGACATATTCCACTGTCTGTCAGCTTGTGGCCAACAGAATGTGTTCAATTTCCGCACCCTTATTCCATCGAGGTAAAGCTTTATGTTTAAGCAGTCCAGCTTCAACAGTCAGAAATCATAAATGTATCTGTTTTCAGTAGCTGTCTGGCTTCAGCAATAAAGGTTTAAATTATCCATCTGTTAATACAGATCTAACTGAAGGCTCTTTTGAAAATTTGGTCAATGTTTATAAAATGAGTTGATAAAGGAAAAAAGTCAGAATTACCAGCTGAATTTACGTGTAACACTTCACACTAATGGGTAGCTTTGCAAACCATGATACAGTGCAAACCTGATATAGTGATCTCACCAGTGACCAAAGAAATGGTTCTTCTTATAAAAAATTCTTCTTATCTGGATGAGTGTTCAAGCAAGAAACATTGCGAGGGATAAACAAACTGTTTCTTAACAACAGAAATTTGCCACATCAAGATCTCCTGAACTCTTTATGTCCCAGAATGTCCTGGCTAATATCTAAGAGAAGCAAGAATAAGTTTTTTTTTTTAAGAATCCTCCATCAGACCTAAACTGTATAATTCAGAGAACTTACTGAGTGCTACACAAGAATAATATCCAGTCGTACATGCTGCATTACTTGGGATAGAATGAGTAAAGCGGTCTGCACTGTATTTAAATTTGTCTACACAGAATTGTACCTTTGGGTTGAGGGGAAAAAAAACAATAGAGATACTGTAACCTATCATGCATGTCATTAAAAGCAATTAAGGAGGGTTAGTGTTGTTGTATGCAAAATCACTGTGGAGTATAAACAGTTAATGAAGTCAGGGCTTTGTGATGCATGGATACACACAGGCATTCATGTTGAGATGATGGATGGTGAGTGTAAACATTTGAACTAATTAAAGTTGTTAGACAGAGGTTGTTTGATCTTCATGGATTACTGCAACCATCCAGAGCTGTGTGGGGAATGTGAGATCCATGTGTAGCTGACTGCTGTTGGCAATAATGTATGGTACTTCAGTCAGTCAGTTTTCAGTCCATCTAAGTGTGTGGATGTGTGCGCGAATTATTCAAGCCATGTGAATGCATGGAGTGTGTTGTGTGACAGTTTTAGCAATGTGATTTTATTCCGTTGGAGCTTGTAAACTGTCCAGATGACTAAGGTTGATAATGAGTTGGACTTCATTATTCTGTCAGTGACTTCTAGAATGGATGGTTGTGCAGCCCAGGTGTATGTGGGTCGATACAGTTGCGCTATGTGGTATGCTAGTTGACAGGGTGTCCTTAAGGGCTACAGAAGATGCTGGTGTCCCTTTGTGTGTGTTGACTAACATAGAGTTGTGATGTGGAGGTATCAGAAGCTGGTCAACAGGATATTGATCAGTGATACTTCAGTAAGTGACTAGTTAGCAGATGGGATATCTGAATTCTTTTCACCAAGTGGTGCATCAACCTTGGGCCCTCGAGTGGCGGAGTCTCTTAGAGGGAAAACAGTAGTAGGACTGTCACTGCACATCACATGTGTGTATCTACGCGTACAGGCAGGAGTCACCCATAGCAGCCACATTGTACACAGTTCTCTGGGGTCCATATCTGGAGAGACTGCCGATGTAAGTGGGTTTGGCAGGCAGTGGTAGACTTGATAGTGAGTCATTAATCACCAGTTTATCTTCTTCGCAAGTTGTTCATCCATAATGAAGAGACTGACTGCACCACAAGATCATACATCGTGTGATGTATTATATTACAGAACTCACAGACAATGTTAGTGGTTAGGACATGGTACTTTTGACTGGCTTATAGTGGTGTCCCTGTTGTTGTTGGCCTTTCCTTACTCTCCTGTAGGAACCTAATGGTCACTTTGTCATCTAAGAAGCTCTTGTATTTGACGAGCAAATCATACACCCTGGGCACTTGGTACAATGCATTACTCTCTAAATTCGAGGATAACAAGTGTAAACATCCTATAGAAATGTGTAGCTGAAAATTCTAAGTAATCATTAGGACCTCCACCCCCGTGTGGGTTCCGGGGCCCCATTGTGGGGAAAACAAGAATAGACCCACTGCCTCCCCAAAAGCATGTCGTAAGAGTCAACTAATTGGGGAGCTTCCTTTGAAGTCGGAGTGCATCTGCCGGAGAGGCAAGGAACCAACAGTCTGTATTCAAGAGAATGAGATCTGTAAAACTGATGCACACGCAACACTCAGGTTCTGGAGCAGGACTGCAGTTCAGTAGTGGACGAGCAACCAGAACCTTCCGCCAGAGTTTACAGCTGGTGAACGCGAAGAAGAAGAAGATTAGGACCTCCATAAAGCAAGTGCTATGAGTCAGTTGAAGGTCAATGCTTCATTAGCCATGCAAAGCAAAACAAGAAGAAGAAGGCTGAAGACATGAAATTGTATGTTGCTTGGTACACAGTGTGGTATTTAATTGAAGTCTCCATAAAAAGGGGTGTGGTTTTTTTAATATGTTAGAGTAATTATTCACAGTGGTCTTTTTAAATTTCCCATATTTTCAAACAGACAACGGTTGGAACTGATGAGGGAAATGTATCACAACGAGGCTGAACTTTCCCCAACCTCTCCTGAACCCAACTTTGACAGTCTGACTGGCGGCGACCCCTTCTATGACCGCTTCCCTTGGTTCAGGCTTGTGGGCAGGTAAGTCAGCTGACTCATCGATGCAAAATGAGACACATAAGAGCATATATAATAAATAAAATGGCAACTTTTACTTCTTCCATCAAGTTTATCAGTTGTCACCAATTATCAAAACTTGTTTGTTCTAATTATGTCTGTCTTGGTTGTCTAAATTTTATTACTCTAACCAGTTTGTATTACATATCTGTCTCTTGAAGGGCTGTTTCTTGAAGGGTCAGAGACCTACTTTACTAATGTATTTTTTATGGCTCGCTATGTAGGCCAGCTAACAGACTTCACTATCCTGGACACACTCAATACACGCACCTGCTGAGTACAAACAAAATCTTTAATGTACAGTGAACAATACAGCTAGACACACCTCAACTAAGTTGGCAGTTCTTATCCGAAACGTTGACGTTGAGCAGCTTTTACATTCACTGGTCAACCCAAGCCGTTCCCATGGATCCCCAAGTACACGATTCCAAACTAACAGTTTATCAGTGCTAACTAAGCCACCGTCTATTGCCACACGGGACTCAGCGGCACACGTAAGGTGTATGGCCTAAGCGTGACTGGGCAGTGATACCACCATTAACAATGCGTATCACACATTCACTAGCTGCTTAACAAATACTGCGTGGAACGTCTACTATTCAAGGAAAATTAACACTACACTATCTCGTCGATACATTAAATGGAAACACAGCCTATCAAAGATCCTAAACACAAATACTATTTATTCTAGCCGTCACTAAACTAATGCACTTTTACCTAGTCAAAAAAATGCTACGTCTCGTCCAGTGCAATGTCCACTACACAACTCCTCCTCAGCAAGCTCTGTCTAAGCTTTTTGTTCTCCTTCCCGCATTCATCCCTTGACACGCGGTAATCCGTGTTAACTGTGGGCCCTGGGCTTAGCCAGTTAACTCGACCCAGTTTATTCCGTGGTCAAGCTGCCCGCTCTTATACAGATCTGGTAATCTGGTAATCCTAGTTTCAGCATCATAGCAAACGGGTCACCCCATTGTTGCTCCGCTCCTGTGCCAACGAAAAACACTCGTAGCTCACAGTGTCACACCATGCACTCAACTCAGAAGCTGGGTGACGAAACCATATCCTTCCAGTCTACAAATGGAGCAAAAATGCAACGGCCATCGCCTGGCAGAACTGCCACGGCTAAAAAAAAAAAAAAAAAAAAAAAAAAAAAAAAAAAAGTGGCCGTGCCTAGCGTCCACTGTGACTTGAAGCATTATGTGAGGGGTTAACAAATGGTCACCCCAGCAGTACCCTCACTATTAGCTGGGAAAGGGACTTAGGACATTACATCCACCAGCAGGCGTCGCCCCTACAACGACCTGACTGCCTTCGTTAACGACTGTTCACCCAACAGCCATGCAGTTCTTTGGCACGAAGGAGACACCTTGAACTTGGGTTCTTATACAGAGTTTTACTGAAGGTAAACTCGTTCATATGTGATGATTCACTATCATCAACTCTGTTCATCCCGTAGCCGAACTTGCCTCTGACAGAAGGGCTGTTTCTTGAAGGGATGTCTCTTGAAGGGATGTCTCTTGAAAGTCTATCTCTTCAAGAGATGTCTTTTGAATAGATGTCTCTTGAAGGACTGTCTCTTGAAGGGCTGTTTTTTGAAGGGCCGTCTCTTAAAGGGCTGTCTCTTGAAAGGCTGTCTCTTGAAGGGCTGTCTTTTGAAAGGATGTTTCTTGAAGAGCTGTCTCTTGAAGGGCTGTCTCATGAAGGGCTGTTTCTTGAAGGGCTGTCTCTTGAAGGGCTGTCTCTTGAAGGGCTGTCTTATGAAGTATTGCCTCATTCATTTCTCTGTTTGCTTCAACCTCAGAACCAACATTTCTGAGTGAGTCTGCCTTTATCCAAGTCTCATATTTTTGCATTGACTTTATTTAATAACATTAGAACTCATATGCCAGGCTTCTGTTAGCTCATGTGTTGAATTCTTTTTATCTTATATGCCAAATTTCTGTTACCTCAAATATCAGGTTTCTGTTATCTATCTAATTTGCCAGGTTTCTGTTATCTCATTTGCCAGGTTTCTGTTATCTCACATGCCAGGTTTCTGTTAGGTCATATGCCAGATTTCTATTATCTCATGTGCTAGGTATATATTATCACATATGCCAGGTTTAATTTAGCTCATATGCCAGGTTTCTGGTTCAGCGTTATGTGAATTAGAATATGTTTTCCATATTTTCAGAGCATTTGTTTACCTGAGTAACCTGTTCTACCCAGTGCCACTGGTTCATCGTGTGGCAATTGTCAATGACAAGGGTGATGTCAAGGGATATCTACGTGTGTCTGTGCAAGCGATAACAGGTAGTGTAGAATGATGTGCCATATTCTTATAGTAATTTATTAGTGGTTTAATTGGTTGACTGATTTGTTGGTTGGTTGACTTTCTGGTTGATTGATTGATTGATCATTTGGTTGACTGACTGGTTTATTGACTGCTTTGTTGATTGACTGCTTAGTTGATTGGTTGACTAACTGATTGATTGACTGTTTTATTTGATTGTTTTGTTCATCGACTGGTGTATTGACTGTTTGGTTGACTGACTGGTTAATTGACTGTTTGGTTGATAGATTAACTTTTTGGCTATTTGATTGAAAAACTGGTTGATTGATTGATTGATCATTTGATTGACTGACTGGTTGATTGATTGATTGGTTGACTGACTAGTTTATTGACTGTTTGGTTCATTGACCGGTTGATTGACTGTTTGGTTGATAGGTTAACTGATTGGCTATTTGATTGATTGACTGGTTGATTGATTGGTTATTTGAGTGATTTACTGGTTGATTGATTGATTGGCTACTTGGTTGACTGACTGGTTGATTGAGGGGTTGACTGAGTGACTGACTGGTTGATTGTCTGTTTGGTTGATTGACCTCTTAGTTGACTGGTTGATTGCTTGTTTTGTTAACTGGTTAATTGACTGGTTGGTTGACTGCTGGTTGGTTATTTAACTGATTTGTTGGTTTGCTCATTGACTGGTTGGTTGGTTGAGGACTGGCTGGTTGGTTGCCTGGCTGATTGACTGGGGTGGTTCACTGATTAGTGAATTCTCTGAAAGACATCTATTATATGAATTTTAGCCAAACAGCTGTCTAGGACAATATGAAAGAAACAGTTCTCCTGATTTGTCTAAAACATTTGTGATGTCTACAGATAAAGATGACCCACAAGAAATGACCCCTGGTGTTAAGCAATCAGGCAATGCCAAGGTTACCTTCAACGATGAGGATTATTTTAACAAAGTGAGCATTAACTGATAGAGATGAAGATTGCAATGTGAAAATTAACCAGATGTAAAAGTAACAAAACAGCTATTCCCAGCAATAATACCACATTTTTAAAAGTATCTACACCTTGAGAATATACATAGTTGTGTAGTAATAAGCAATAGTGTGTATGTGTGTGTACCCACACACAGTTGCACAGACAGACACACATGAATTATGCACACACACATACACATGCATGCACACATGCATACACACATACAAACATACGTACAACAAACCAAGAAGAATTTCAGGGAAGGGGAGCAACGTACACACACAAAACAAAACCACTTTTCAACCTGAACCTTTCTCAACATAAACCACAACAACTGCAAAAAAGGGGAATGTGACAGAAGGATAAAAAATATAATGCTTTTTTGCAAGGAATGACTATATCTGTTAGTTATTGTTGTTGTTTATGTTAAGAAAGGCTCCGACTGAACCACCTTTTATTTTTATATGTGTTCGTTGTTCCCATTTCCCCTTTTGCTAAGCTTTGTAGCCACAGTTCATTGGAATAACCACAGCTGATAGTCATATATCTACACAGCTGATAGTCATACATCTACACAGCTGATAGTCATATATCTACACAGCTGATAGTCATATATTTACACAGCTGATAGTCATATATCTACACAGCTGATAGTCATATATCTACACAGCTGATAGTCATATATCTACACAGCTGATAGTCATATATCTACACAGCTGATAGTCATATATCTACACAGCTGATAGTCATATATCTACACAGCTGATAGTCATATATCTACACAGCTGATAGTCATATATCTACACAGCTGATAGTCATATATCTACACAGCTGATAGTCATATATCTACACAGCTGATAGTCATATATCTACACAGCTGATAGTCATATATCTACACAGCTGATAGTCATATATCTACACAGCTGATAGTCATATATCTACACAGCTGATAGTCATATATCTACACAGTTGATAGTTAGACATCTACACAGCTGATAGTCATACATCTACACAGCTGATAGTCATACATCTACACAGCTGATAGTCATATATCTACACAGTTGATAGTTAGACAGATGAGGATTTTCTTGTTCATTTATTAATGTTTTCTTTCAAAACAGAAACCACTGCATGGAAGCAATTTCCGACATCAAGCAGACATGGAGAAATCAGTTGATAAAATGATCTCCTCTGTGGAAGAGCTCAGGATTGTTGAGGGTGAAGGTCAGAAAATGGACAATTCAATGCTGGCCTCAGGTCTGGGATGACATCCTTTAACAGCATTTCTGTTTGTCATATTCATATCTTTATTTTTTTCTCCGTTTTTCTTTGAAAAACTAAAATCTACCTGATTAAAAAGGGTCTGTTACTTTATTACCTGAACTAAATTCACTGCACATTGTGTCGATCTAAAGGTTTTCAGTCTCTGTTTTTAGCAAATTTGATTTCATTACTGATATCTTTTCCAAGCTTTGCAGTACCTAGTCTGGTTACCTGATAACTCATTTCCCCAGATTAGATCCACTGTGTGGACCAAACTTCCAGAATGAGGAATCAGTTTAGCTGCTGCAGGGCCAAATTTGTGATGACTTGCTACACAAACTGCTGCCACCATAATCTACTACCAGCAATACAATCTACACTCTACTACCAACCATACACTCTATACTCTACTACCAGCAATACAATCTACGCTCTACTACCAATCAAACACTCTATATACTCTACTACCAACCAAACACTTTATACTCTACTACCAGCAATACAATCTATGCTCTACTACCAACTAAACACTCTATATACTCTACTACCAACCAAACGCTTTATTCTCTACTACCAGCAATATAATCTAAGCTCTACTACCAACCAAACACTCTATATACTCTACTACAAATCAAACACTCTATACTCTATTACCAGCAATACAATGTAGGCTCTACTACCAACTAAACACTCTATATACTCTACTACCAACCAAACACTCTATATACTCTACTACCAACCAAACACTCTATACTCTACTACCAGCAATACAATCTATGCTCTACTATCAACCAAACACTCTATTTACTCTACTACCAACCCAAAACTCTATACTCTACTACCAACCACACACTCTACTGCCACAAACACAGTCTACACTCTACCACCAATATCACAATTTACATTCTACTGCCAACAATACAGTTTACACTCTACTACCACCTATACACTCTACACTCAACTATTAACAATATTATCTACACTCTACTACCAACAATGCGGCGTCCGTGGCTAAGGCGTTGCGAGTCCGACTCGTAAGCCAGCATACCTCGATCGAAACCCACTGCAGGCTGTGTGGATTTTTATCGTGGTATGGGATGTCGCAGGTCGACCCAGCCTAAAATGGGTACCAGGATGGGCTATCCTGGGAAAGTAAAGACAGCCGGCGTAATGCTGACCACATTACCCACAGAATGCTGATGGTCTGTAAAAATATGGGACGCTCTGCCCATGTGCCCGATGCGCCGAAAGGCGTGAAAAGGGATCTTTACTTTACTTTTTACTTTACTACCAACAATACAATCTACACTCTACCACCAGTATCGCAATCTACACTCTACCACCAATATCACAATCTACATTCTACCACCAATATCACATGTGGCAGTGTCTTCCTAAAGAATCACGAGTCCGACTGATTATATGCCCAACTGGCCATGAGTACCCTATGTTTATTCTGCCCCCTTGACTGAAATATATTTAATACTGACTCTCACCCTCAACACCAAGTCTATCACATGGCTTCTGAAATAACTGTCTATATTTAATTGTCCATAAATCATTCATGAATTAATACATGGGGAACTAACTACTCACATTACATGTCCTCTAATAATACAGCTTCAACAGCAACACTCATAAAAAAATAGGTAGCAAATCGACACCCTAGTTTTTACACCTACTGCATACTGCTGCAACACTACACTTTATACTACTTCTGCCAGATAAGGCATAATATAATGTATAGTATAAGTTCACTTCGCTGTCCTGAATTTCATATCTATCCATGTCCTTTCCTAATACTACTCTTTTCATGCGTGGCATTATGGCATTAGTGATGTATGGTCACTTAATTTGGCTCTTTGTTCTTCTTTAGTTGATTCAGTCTTCCTCTTAGATAATGTAACGCCATATGCATTAAACTAACTTGAATTACAACTATTTTATAGTCTTGTCAAACATCAGTCCAAGCGAGCCACAACTTGCCATGTACAGTGTCCAAAACCACTCTACGACTGGTGTCTTGTCATCTGTGTTCTTGCAAATGGTTGCAAATTGTTCAAAAGTTTTGTGTTGTTAGGTTGGTTACCGACAGCCCTGACATGTCTGGATAATTAAACCCACTGTCTTCGTGATTATCATTATGCTGTAGGGGATATTTTCACTGTAGACAATCGGCGATTACAGTTTGGCAATTTTGCTGCACAAATTAACCATATATCTTGGCCAGACAACAATTGCCATCTGGGAGCTAAGATAATACCTAGTAAAATTAAACAGTGAAGCAATTACGACTGCACTAGTAAGTTTTGTTTCAAGTTGCTTCTGGTAGATACTCCTTATCTATCTGTTAGAGAAGGGTTCAATTCTCTCTGTGTTACACTCCTCCACGACATTAAATTTACAGTCTACTTATCAATGTTAACCATTGCTGTGTCTAAATTTGTCATGTTTTTAAAACTGAAAGTCCATATTTCCAGCTTATACCAAAGTCTAGTCTTTTTTCCTTGTCTCAAACAGAAAATCAGGACATGAATGTGGACAACAAGACATTAGAGACATCTGGCAAGCTGGACTCCTGTCTTGATCTACCGGAACATCTGAAGATAGGGAGCCAGTTCCAATTCCGAGTCACCATCCTCCAGGCATCCAACATTTCACCAGAATATGCGGACATTTTCTGCCAGTTCAAGTACATTTTCTTTTATTTTTTAAGTAGCTGTTTTTCCTTTATTATGTTCATGGCTATTCCTAGAACTGTTTTGTTCATGTTTTTCTTGGTATCCACATTTTAAATATACCAGTTTAACATATTTAGTATAGAGATATATTTATGGCTTCGTTTTCACAAAATATCCAAACGACTTCATTTGTTGTTTTTCAGTAAATTCAGTGCATTCAAACCAACAAAATATTTTTTTTAAACTCTCAATTTTAGCTCATGCTGCAAGAGAAGTCCTGGATTTAACGAAAAGTATCTTCTTCATCTTCTTTTTTAATCTTTCTGTCAGGAAAACTTATACCATGAGACTAGTAACCTTAGAGAAAGCTAAGAAGACCAATCAGTACAAGATGGGTAAAGTTGTCAGCATCATGCCGGCCACCTTTTCTTCCCAGGACAGCACCTGGTACCCAATCAAGGCTCAGTCAACCTGGAAGCCTAGGTCGGTTTTTTTTTAGTCTGGCTCCGCTGGGGAGCAAACCAATGACCTTCCGATCCGCAGGCAAGCGTCTAGCTGCTCCGCCATGGCGACAAAGCCTCAAATGAGTACCAGGTGACATCCTGGGAAGTAAAGGTGGCTAGCATGATGTTGACCTCATCACCCACCAATTACTGATTGGTCTATAAAATATAAATCGCTGGCTGCTGAAGATGGGGACGAAGCACTTATGAGAATGCCCGAGTGCTGTGATGTCGGTTCTTGAATAAATCAAATCGAATCAGATCTATCACATGGTTTCCATCTGTCACAAGCTTAGAGTTGTGGGACCTATATTTAATTAAGGGAATCCTTTGAATTTCGTATTTCTTGCACTCTGGTAAATAATGTTTGGTATTATTATTTTGTGATGCTGACCACATCACCCATCTTGTGTCGACTGGTCTATAAAAATATAGGTCTAGCCCTATATGCCCTATATGCCTAAAGGCCTAGAAAAAGGTCCTTTACTATTTTTACTTTTACTTTTTTTTATAATTTTTTTGTGCCAAATATTAAAAACACTGAAGTACACACTTTAATGTGAATGAAATCTGTTCTTATTTTAGACTTGTATATTTTAAACTGCAGTTTCAAACACCGTCATGATGAGGCTTTCTCCACGGAGCCACTGAAGAACACAGGCAAGGGGCCTCCACTTGGCTTCTACCATGTTCAGAATGTAAGTTATGTATGTTGTGTGCTTGCATGCATGCACCTGCTCATGCAAGACCGGATTTACCATCATCATCATCATCATGTAGCAGGTCCTTTGCAGGAGGTCGATATCATCACAGTCTGCCTGAAAGAAATTAGGTCCTTTGCCAGCTCTCCCGCATCATGTACTTTCATATTCAATGGATCACTTATACCCATTGCCCATCTTCATGTTGGTCAGTCCTTGAACCTCCTTCCTGGTACCAAGTAAGTAAAAAAAAGTAAAGATCCCTTTTTCGGCGCATCGGGCATATGGGCAGAGCGTCCCATATTTTTACAGACCATCAGCACTCTGTGGGTAATGCGGTCAGCATTACGCCGGCTGTCTTTACTTTCCCAGGACAGCCCGTCCTGGTACCCATTTTGGGCTGGGTCGACCTGCGACGTCCCATACCTGGTACCAAGCCTTCAGCTATTATTTGTTCCAATCTGCTGTGGCAGTTAATATGACCAAAATATTCCAGTTTCCGAGACAAGATGCTGTTTATTAGCTAATCTTCCTTGATGTTCAGATCTGTTAAAATTTCAGTATTTCTCCATAATATTCTGAAAATCTTTCTATAGCATTTCAGCTCAAAAGCCTCTATTTTCTTTTTGAAGGACTGAGAGATAGGCCACCACTCACATCCATCTGTTGCTACAGAGAAGATGCATGCTCTCAAAATTTTTAATTTTGATTTCCTTGCTGTATACATAAGGGAGTTGAATGGTCATAGACCACGAGGCAGACCATGAAGACGATGGAGAGATAATGTCCAGGTATACCTGCAAACACTTGGTGTCACCAGCTGGAAAGAGGCCAGCCAGAGAGATGAATCTAGGCAGGTGATATCTGCAGCAATTAATCTCAAGACTTTGGAATGCTGAAGAAGAAGATTTCCTTGCTGGTGCTTAACCATAGACTTTTAATGCTGTTTAATCTGGATTTACCATTAAACAAAATGTGTAGAACTTCCATTGCCAGATTTACCATGTAAATATATTTAGATATATAAAGCAAGTTATCAATAAACAGGAATAGAGTGAAGCATACATTCCCCCCCCCCCCCCCCCTCCCCCCCCCCCCCCAAATATCCAGAAATCATGAGTTGTTACCCTTTGGCTCAGTACTATGGATATTGCAACCCTTGATTCTATGATAAATACTGTAAATCTGGGAGAAATGTGGCTTTTCTGCTTACCCTTGGGTGTGAACCCGGACCACAAAGAGTTCGTCACAAGTTCGTCAAGAGTTTGCCACGAAGTCAGGTTTAACTAACTACGCGTTCCAGGCGAAGCATTAAATAGAAACACTCCCTGGGGCCTTAAAAAAATATGTATTGGGTGACTCATGTCATGACCCCATGACCTCTATCACTGATGCTTACAGGATAAATGTGTCATTAGCTTGGCTATTGAAAAACTATAGGGTTTGAAGGAAGATCTCCCTAAATGTGATTTGTAGAAAAAAAATTTCATATCATGACCTCCTAAATGTTTGCACAAGTGCAAACTCACTTTGACTGCATTGACTAAACATCTTATAAACAGGTCACTATAGACAAGTTGAACAGTCATATTTACAGGGAACTGGCCCGAAGAGGAATGGCTGGTTTTGTGGTTTTTCAGGGCAACAAGGTTAGGCAAGTTCATTGTAACGAGATTTTACTGCATATATATCTGTTTTTGATATAGAGAAATTGAACAGAGCATAGGTATTTACAAGTTTTGTAAAATATTTTTTTTAAAGTTGTCTCGATTGTTACTTTCAGTTCACCGTAAACGTGACTAAGTCATTTGTTGACTATATCAAAACTCAACCCCTGGTCTTTGAGGTTCTTGGACATTATCAGCAACATCCTCTTCATGAACAGTCCAAGGACTGCTCGGGGTAAGTAGGCAGGCTGACAAGATGTCGTAAACCTAGTTACTTCTTTTGCCTCTATCAACTGTAGAGACTGCCACATTTAGATTGCCAGGAGAAAATTGCTGTGTGTAAGTGTGTGAGTGCGTGTGTGAGTGTGTGCGTACATGGGAGAGATGGAAGTGAAAGAGAGTCAGTTATTTAATAGCAATATCTTATTTAAAACTATTTACAGTGTGAGACCACCACCAAGTCGCAGTTTCCCTGCGATGTCAGTGTCAAAGCCAGTTCCTTCATCCAAGTATGGCATCATTGCTCCCTCCAGGTATGTTCCTGTGTTCTGTTATATCTCCTCCAGATATGTTCCTCTGTTCTGTTATATCTCCTCCATGTATGTGTCTATGCTCTGTTATATCTCTTCCATGTATGTGTCTATATCCTGTTGTATCTTCTCCATGTATGTGTCTATCTTCTGTTATATCTCCTCCAGGTATATTCCTGTGTTCTGTTATTTCTCCTTCATGTGTGTGTCAGTGTTCTATTATATCTCTCCATGTATCCTCTATGTTCAGTTATATCTCCTCCAGATATATCCTGTGTTCTGTCATATCTTCTTGAGGTATGTCCCTCTGTCCTTTATATCCTTCAAGTATGTTCCTATGTTCTGTTATTTAATTTATCCTTTATTACATTTTCTAGAGTATTTTTCCTGTACTTATCACAAACATCAGAAAGAGACAGTCATAATGCTGTATGACATTAACACAAGCTACATAACTAACAAAAGACAGAAAATTATAAATAACTCCTCTCTGCCAATGGCATATGCAGTAGGACAAAAGATAAAGGAGGAGAAGAAGAAAAAGAAGAAGAAGAAGAAAAAGAAGAAGAAGAAAAAGAAGAAGAAGAAGAAGAAGAAGAAGAAGGTGAAAAAGAAGAAGAAGAAGAAGAAGAAGAAGAAGAAGAAGAAGAAGAAGAAGAAGAAGAAGAAAAAGAAGATTGCTAGTGTAAAAAGAGAGATCAAAGGGTCAACAAAGACAATGCATGTAAATGTGTTTCTATTGTCCTTTCATTTTTCTAGCTCCAGCCCAGTGCATTCCCAGTGTGACCTGTTGGTCTGGTTTGAGATCTGTGAGTTAGCACCAAACGGAGAGTGAGTTTTCTTCTTTTCTTTGTTTTGTTTTTTTTCTGCTTAGATTTTTTACAGTTGTCATAAAAGAAAGCTGTCTAGAATTAATAAATGTGGAGGCAATAATGGCAGCTTATGCTAGAAGGTAGTACTGTCAAAACATAGCTGTAGCAGACATATAGAGCATGTTTTGATGGAAAAAATAAACTTGGTGTGCTTTGAAGAGTGACATGCATCAACCCATAAGACTCAGCTCAACAGAATATCATATATGTGTACCTAAGATGTGCGGATGTAGGGGGCAATGATGAAGCTGCTAGATCAAAAGCTGGTGCTCTTCTGGGCTGAGAGATACTTTTATTGTAAAGTGAGTGTGGTGCAGCAGAGCAGAATAATGATACCGAGTATGATAATGACAGTGAAGATAATAGTAAAGAATGCTGACTCTGATGGTGATGATGATAGTGAAGATGATAGTAAAGATAATACTGACTGTGTTGATGATAATGATGATGATGATAATAATGAGCCTGAAGATGATAGTAAAGAATGCTGATTGTGATTGTGATGATGATAGTGAAGATGATAGTAAAGATAATACTGACTGTGATGATGATGATTATGACAGTGAAGATGATTTTAAATAATACTGACTGTGATGATGATGATGATTATGACAGTAAAGAGGATAGTAAAGATAATACTGACTGTGATGATGATGATTATGACAGTAAAGATGATAGTAAAGATAATACTGACTGTGATGATGAGGATTATGACAGTAAAGATGATAGTAAAGATAATACTGACTGTGATGATAATGATTATGACAGTGAAGATGATAGTAAAGATAATACTGACTGTGATGATGATGATTATGACAGTGAAGATGATAGTAAAGAATGCTGACTGTGATGATGATGGTAATAACTGTAATGATGCTCATGTGATAATAATGATATTGTTCATGATGGCAGTGATTTAAATGATGATTATTATTATATTAATTATTTTCATTCATGATAATGATGATGAGTATAATGAGAGTGCTGATAATGATGTTGTGTGCAATCTCAGGTATGTGCCAGTGGTGGTCGATCACTCTGACGAGTTACCAACCCAAGGGATCTTCATGCTGCACCAGGGCATACAACGTCGTCTGCGCATTACCATCGTACATGAGAAGCGAACTCACTTTGCTTGGAAGGATGTTAGAGAGCTGGTTGTTGGTATGTGCTTTGTTTCAGGAGGTTTTCATCATCATCATCATCATCTGTCGTTACTGTCTGTATTTACAGATTTTTAGGGCAGTGTAGGTCAGAAGGTTGTGAACCTAAGGATTTAAAACCTGTGTTGAAGCCACAAATTCTGCAGGATAGGACATTTATTTTTGTCCCCAACAAAAAAAAACTTCAATCACCTTACCAATGATTCGAACCTGGATCCCCCTTAATGACTGGTAAGAGTGGCCTTACTTCTCCTCATCTCGTGGTCTTCAACATCAATTTGTGCGTTGACATTTTTCAATGTCATGACCAAAGCATGTCAAAGAATTTTCTCTCAATGTCTTCCTCTAACTCTCTTTCCATAAATATGTTCATTTGCTGAAATGTGTGCAGTTTTTCTCTTCTCATAACATGCAAGATAATCTTATATACAAATCTTTCATGCTTGTAGTGAGTATATTCTAGCACAGATGTGTATCACTCCTGCTCACTGGATCCAAAAAAATGGTACTGAATGTTGTTTGTATGTCCTGTCTTTGGGGTTAATCTTAATCACCAGTTGGTTTATTGATAGTGGTAAACCATAGTTGTGAAGTGATAAACCAGGGATTTGTAATAAAAAATTTGGGTTTTTAGTGATAAACCTTAGTTGTTTAGTGATCAGCCATAGTTTGTAGTGATAAACCATAGGTGTTTAGTGATAAACCTTAGTTTTGTAGTTATAAACCATAGCTGTTTAATGAGAAACTTTAGTTGTGTAGTGATCAGCCATAGTTTGTAGTGATAAACCATAGTCTTGTAGTGATAAACCATAGCTGTTTAGTGATAAACCTTAGTTGTGTAGTGATAAATCATAGTTCTGTAGTGATAAGTTATAGTTTTAAAGTGATAAACCATAGCTGTTTAGTGATACACCTTAGCTGTGTAGTGATAAACCTTAGCTGTGTAGTGACAAGCCATAGTTTTGTAGTGATAAACTTTAGCTGTGTAGTGACAAGCCATAGTTTTATAGTGATAAACCTCACTTGTGTAGTGATAAGCCATAGTTTTGTAGTGATAAGCTATAGCTGTTTAGTGAAATACTTTAGTTTTGTAGTGATAAGTCATTGTTCTGTGATAGATAAACCAAAGTTCTTTTTTTTAAAATTACTTTCACTAATTATATATAAATATATTTTTGAATATTCTGACAGGTCGTATCAGAAACACACAAGAGTTCTATGACTATGACATTGAGACTACAGTTCTGTCCCTTGGTCTGTTCCCTGCTCATTTCCTACAATACCAGAATGATGACAGGTAACTAAAGATGACCACACAGTTATGTGCCAAGTTTTTTCCTTGAAGTTTCTAATGTAAAAAAAATTATGATAAAATATCATTTAGTCACAAGATGAGCTACATAAAAAGTTTGAGGTGTTGAGGAGTTGCCAGGGAATTTGACTGATTCTCAAGGATCAAGGAAAAGGCTAGACAGATAAACAATCAAACAGTTACTGGTGCCCTTGGAATTGGAACTCTTTGTTTGTACTCCTAATTCAACATTCAAAAGGTTTGAAATAATATTTCACTGCTTTCTTTCTGACTTTTTATTAATGTGCTTAACCTCTAAGATAATTTGCAGAGCATCAAATCCAGATTCTGCTGAACCTATCATTCTCATGATCTCAATCATGCATTCTCCATTAATGATGGTGTGCTTTCATACTGAATTAATTTTTATAACTTAGTTCAGATTCTTGGTCTGTTCAGTTTTTCACAGATGATAATGGTGAGAATTTTGTGGTAGTTTCACTGTGAAAGGAATGGAGCAATTGCTGGGTGGCTCATTTGCTATGAAGCTGAACCGGACCTGACCACTAGCAACTTTCACATTAGCTGATATTAAAGATTAATATTTCACCTCTTTTTTTTCAGGGTATTTTTCCAGTTTGAAGCAGCCTGGGATAGCTCCCTGCACAACTCTCCTATGCTCAACCGAGTCACTGTTTACGGAGAGAAAGTCTACATGACTTTGTCTGCCTACCTGGAGGTTGGTCCTGTCATGTTTCTAGAAGTTCATGTTTGAGAAAGATTGGCAACAAAATAAAATCTGTATCTGGGTCCAAGATGAAGAATGTTATCACAGTTGACATCTTTGCACATTGGGCATCCCCATACATGCTCAGTCCTTCGATGCAGCAGCCGCTCCAGGATACCTCAACAGATTGTTTTCATACCTCTACTGATTGTTCCCGTGAGGAGTTGGTTATAGTATCTCCGAGCTTTACCTCGAAGACGACATAGATATGCTTCACCAAACTTAACCTCTTGGTCACGCAGTCGTATTAGCGTCAGAGATTCGCCATTATTCCCCAACCTAGTCCATACAGTGTTGATGATATCAGCTCTGTCCATGCTTCTTCTCATTTGCATTGGTGTAATACTTGCTAGCTGGTCTGCTCTTTTATTACCATTTACTCCTGCATACGCAGATGTGTGGATCCAGATGATGGAGATTAACTGCGACTTCTGAAGGCTTTCTACCCACTCAGAGTGTAGACTACTTGTAGCGATTTTTTGAAGCATGCTCATAGAGTCTGAAACGATTACTGCATGTGTGGTGACTTGTTCTGCTACCCATGTGAGTGCTCTGGAAGTCACAGTTATCTCCATGAAGAATATTCTGTGCTGTATATATTTTTGGTAATGGATAGGAGAAAGAGAATTCTGAAGAGCTATATAAAACCAAACCTGAGGTTATAGGGCAAAAAATGAAATATAAAATATTGAAAACCCATCCCAGGTGCCACTTGAGTCTCTGGGGGAAAGCAATGTGAGTAGTTAACCAGAAGACAAAAAGTATATAGACTTTTTGCTGACCGTTAAGGAGTAATACGGAGCTAATATGGATTTGTTCTGAATGTTGGATGTCAAATCTTTACCCAGATGATGTATGGAAGTGAAATATGGATGGTCTGCAAATTAGTGAGAAATTACATGGAAGCTGTTGAGATGTGATTTTATAAGAGTGATGAAAACACTGGACAGAATAAAAGGTGTAATTAAGATATCTTGAAAGAAATTGACTCACCAAAGCAACTGGTTACCAATTTTTAAAAAAGAACAATTTATATTCTTTGAGCATGTCATCTTAAGGGTAAAACTGGAGGGCAAAGTAAAATAGGATGAAACAAAGAGGGAAGATGTTAGCATTTGACATCATTCATGGAGGAACATCTGTATCAACAATGATTGGCAGTGTATCTGAACAGAAAGATGCAAAAAATATGATAATATAGTTTTGAGACAGAATGAGCCTGACTAAGATAAGATAATTCTCATAAACAAGTAAATGTCAGATAACACTCCATCACAGATTTTGAAGCAAATGCTCAAAGGAAATCACAATGAACAAACACAACTATTATTTCAAAGACAAAATCTGTGCTGCTGCATGAAATATTTTTGCCACCATTTTTTGCTTTAAAAAAATAAACCTTTCTCCACACCCTTAGGCATAGAGATTTGTAGTGCTAAACCTATATTTTAGAGCAATGGCACTAGGTGAATGATGGGGTCAACATCATGCTTTCTGGCTTTACTTCCCATGACTTTACCTGGTATCTATGTAGGACTGGGTGAACCTGGAAGCCAGGGTCATTTATTAAACAAATCTGGCTCAGTGCTGGTTTAAACCCAAGACAGTCAGACCTACAAGTGAGTGTCTAACCACTACACTACCATGGCTTCCATTCTTGACTAAGCTGAGACCAAATCTAAAATGTGTAACAACACAGAATGTGTAGATTAGTGCACAGTAACAGTAGCTGATCACACATGAAACACAGTGTGGAGCCAAACAGGAGTTAATCAGGGTAATATGCAACACGAGTTAAATCATACAAACATTCTATGAAGTGCATTGCTGCCTGATTATCTTCTTCTTCTTCTTCTTCTTTTCATTCACCGGCTGTAAACTCCAGCAGAAAGTTCTGGTTGTCTGTCCACCTCTGGAGTTAACTCTTTGAGTCCCAAGGAACACACCATACGTTTATAGGTTCCTCCCTAGAGGCCCAATAAACGCAAGATGCATCGATTTTAGATCTCTCTTGACCACCCCTTGGGCCTCTGATGCTAAACCCCCTTGGACTCAAAGAGTTAAGTCTTGTTCCAGAGCATGAGTGTTGCATGCACATCCATTTAACAGATCTGACTTAATTGTGTGCAGACTGTTGAATCCTTGCCTCTCAGGCAGACTTTGAAAGAAGCCCCCAATCAGTCGACTCTTACTACATGCTTGTTGGGGAGGCAGTGGATCTATTCTTGTTTTCCCAACAACCCACAAGGGCATGTCTGATTATGATTATGTTTACTATCATGATGAAGATGACAAAGACGATGGCAATAATGATGATGATAGTGGTGCCTGCTTCATAAGGTAGTGACAAATTTACTTACTGATTTACAAGGCAAACATGAATGTTTAAATTTTTTTTTTAAATTACCTTGAACAGGTGGAAAACTGTGCCCAGCCTGCATGTATTACCAGAGATCTGTGTATGGTCATCCATCCACGTGACACAAAGATCTCTGCCCCAAGGTTTGGAATTATCTGCTGTTGTAGCAAAATAAAAATAATTCTTCATTTGACATGTCACTGTGGTGACATTGATATTTTTGGCTAATTGTCAGGAAACAATTTTTTATTTGTAGTATTTTGTTTTGAATAGAATGACCATTTCTTCTTCTTTTTGGCATTCACAAGCTGTAAACTCTGGTTGAAAGCTATGGGTGTTCTTCAACTTCTGGATTTTAATCTTGTTCCAGATCTTGAGTTTTGCATGCACATCCATTTTACAGATCTTGCTTGTCTGTATGCATACTGTTGGTTCCTTGCCCTTCAGGCAGTTGCAGTCTGACTTTGAAAGAAACAATGCTAATTCAGCAAATTTTTAGTTGTTGACATGCTTGTTGGGTTTGGGTGGAGAGAGGGGAAGGGAGTGGGTCTATTCTTTGTTTCCTAAATAAGACCTAAGAACCCACATGGGGAAAATGACTCATGGGACCTGCAGTGGCATAGCACCTGCTGGTAGGCCTGGAGGTCTTGGATTCGAATCACCAGCAGGTAGGATTTTGCTTTGATAATGATCTCGGTTCCCATGTTGACACTGCCTAAAATGAGCACTATGTAAATTCCTGGAAAGTAAAGGTGGCCAGCAAGATGTTGACCACATAACTCACCTGGAGCTGATTGGGCTGTGAAAATCTGAGTCTTGCATCAGATGCCCGATATGCCACTGTCATGAAAAGGGTTACTTATTACTTTACTTCCTATTTTCAGGGCTAGTAATTTTAGAATAATATCCCTTACCCTACCACTTATTTACATTTCAATGCACAAGATCTCCACCACTCACTATATTATTTTTGTTTACTTTTCTTTATCTATTTCGTTAAAAAGGCCAGTACCTTCTAATATATCTATTATAACTGAGGGTTGAACGGGATATTATTTTATGAAAAACTACTATTTCTAACTTCTGATGCTCCGTTTAATTTTATACTCATTTCAATTAAACTGACTTTGTTCAAGTGAAATACATTTTACATGTAATATGCTTATTAAAATTGAATGCCAGTTTGGAAGAGAAATAGGGACAAATAAAACATTAGGGAAAGAAGTAGACCACACTGACTTATAAACAAAGAGACAGTATGCTACAACAGGCACAAAAAGCCAACAACTTGTCTAAATCAGTCAAACTTACAGAAGTAATTATTTAAAGAAAAGGAAAGTAAGAAGTTGCGTAAGATGATGTCGGGAACACAAAAGAAATCTTCTTCCTCTTCTTCACTTCCTATTTTACTGCTTCAGGTGTTGAGGGAGATATAAGGTTCTGCTTCTGGCTGTTTTAGCTACCTCAGCTATAGACTCATTGTACTGTTGTAGAGTTTCTCTGATGTTATCATTCCATCTTGTTTTTGGTCTAAATTGTGCTCTATGTCCTTGTCCTCTATAGGTGTATGCCTTGTATAGTATGTTGTCATGAGACAATCTCTCTAAGTGGGCAAACCATTTGATTTGCTGTCCTTGTATGTAATTTAAAATTGGTTCCTTGCCACCTTTTTTTCTCTTATGACCTCATTCTTGATTTTAACTCTTTTGGTCACCTTTTCAGGACTTCACGGATATCTCATTTTCATGGTTACTAATTTACAGAAGAAAACAACAAATCAAATGTAATTTACTGCTTGCACTAAAAGAGTTGATGTATTCTTGTACACTAATATTGCTACTTTGTTTACTATAATTAAACCAAGTTAAGTTTCCTTTCTAAATGTATATGTACTCTGCATATAAATGTTGTCAAAGAATGTAACCTGGCATGTCTTAAAATATCTTACTTTTGCTAGCAAATTATAGTGCTTGTGTTTGATGTTCTTGCTCTGATAATATATGATTGAATTGTAATTTATTTGCAGTTTTATGTAATGATTATTATCGTTACTACTACCACTACTACTAGTACTACTGCTGTTGTGCTACTACCACTTCTACCACCACTACTACTGCTACAACAAATACCACCACCACCACCAGCTGCGTTATGCGCAGTCGATAGAAGGCTCGCTTTCAAATCCAGCTGCGACTCGCTGCAGCCACGATCGGTGTTCTAAACCGTGCGGTTCCTGGGGTTTACCCTGCCTCTAGGAAATGGGTACCAGAGTGACACTCTGGATTAATCGAGGAATGTCGCTGTAGATACAGAGTTACGTGCGGACGGTGACACAAGCGAACAGTTTCTTATCAGCTGTCCGTACTGGTGACAGAGCACTTATGGTTTATAACCCTGTGCAATGATGCTGGTTCACATCTCCTGACTTTACCTTTACCTTTACCTTTACCAAGACCTATACTGCTATTGCTACCACTGCCCCTACTGCAATGACAAATGTCTTCACCACTGCTACGTCCACTATTACTACTTTGACTACTGCTACTACTACCACCACTGATGTTACAACTACTACTACTACTGACACTACCACCACCACCACTACTATTACAGCTGCTACTAAACTACTCTATTTTTAAAGGTGTTAGTATTTAATCAGATTACTACAAAGTTAGCTAGTTAGAAGAATTTAAGGATATGTAAAACATGGTGTTTCTCCAGTACATAATCTCCATTCAGTGAGTGTACAGTACTTGCATGGTCCTGATTTTGGCTCCTTGCTTATTATTTTGTTTCATTGCTTTAAGTGCAGTTTTTGAAGTACTCCTGAGTATGTCAGTCAGTTCAAAATGTTATCACCCCACCAACCCCCCACTTTTTTTTTACACCTGGCCCCTTCCCAATGATAACTATTACAACTTGTCCATTTTAAAATTAAGCATTATAATACGAATTTTACCCATTTTCCTAAATTAACAAGTAACATTCATATAGGATTTACTGTTAAAAAATTAATTGCTAATTACTGATTGGGTTATTTAAACAATAATATTGTTAAGAGTGGTAACATGTAAAAAATTAATAAAAAGACCCTTTTCCACGCCTTCAGGTGTATTGGGCATATAGGGCTAGACCTATATTTTATAGACCATTTTGCACTTGGTGGGTGAAGTGGTCACCATCCCGTCGACCATCTTTACTTCCTAGAACCGTACCCACTCAAGGCTGGGTCGACCTGAGAGAGAAGGTCATTTTTAAAAAAATGTCTGGCTGTGCCAGGACTTGAACACACAATCTTCTGATTCACAGGCAAGCACCTAGCCGCTACACCGTGGTGGCTTTCAGTGGTGACTCATGGAATATTTTATATGCATAGCCAGAAGGAAGGAAATAAAAGATGAAAAAAAAAAAAGAATTCAGTAGAAACTGTTCAGTCAGGAATATTTTCAAATATTGGCACCATATGCTATTCTGTTTACCTTTATTTCATGTTAAAACTTTCCCTTGTATCTCCTGTAATCTTCTTCTTCTTTGTGTTCACCAGCTGTAAACTGAAGTGGAAAATTCTGGTTGTTCATCCACTTTTGGACTGCAGTCCTGTTCTAGAACCTGAGTGTTGCGTGTGTATACGTTTTACAGATCTGACTTTTGTGTATGCAGACTATTGGTTCCTTGCCTCTCAGGCAGATGCATTCCGACTTCAAAGGAAGCTCCCAATTAGTCAGCTCTTATGACATGCTTTTGGGTAGGCAGTGGGTCTTTTCTTGTTTTCCCTGTAATAGGGCCCCATGAACCCACACAAGGATCTTCTGTAATAAACCAGGTGCTTGAAGCTGTTTATTTTTTTAGTTTCCTTTTGTTTTAGTTTTAAATTTTACCCTATACCATCGCTGTTGTTTATCAGTTCAATCCTGTCTGCTTTTCAATGTTATATTTTTTTTTAAACCTACCTCACCATTTGTAAATCAGTAAGAAGTGCCCCTTTGTATCCTTAGGACCATCAGCCGGAATTGAGTCCTCCTGTCCTTGTGACCACAAATAAGAACTAATTACTTCCACTCTTGTGATAGCATATAATAAAATTAACTCCTCCTTCTCTTGTCACAACCAATAAGAACTGATTCTTCTGACCACCAGTAAGTACTAACTCTTCCTACTTTTGTAGCAACCAATAAGAACTTATTCCCTAAATATTCTGACCACCAGTAAGTATTAACTCTTCCTACTTTTGTGGCAACCAATAAAAACTTATTCCCTAAATCTTCTGACCACCAGTAAGTATTAACTCTTCCTACTTTTGTGGCAACCAGTAAGAACTTATTCCCTAAATCTTCTGATCACCAGTAAGTACTAACTCTTCCTACTTTTGTGGAAACCAATAAGAACTTATTCCCTAAATCTTCTGACCACCAGTAAGTACTAACTCTTCCTACTTTTGTGGCAACCAATAAGAACTTATTCCCTAAATCTTCTGACCACCAGTAAGTACTAACTCTTCCTACTTTTGTGGCAACCAATAAGAACTTATTCCCTAAATCTTCTGACCACCAGTAAGTACTAACTCTTCCTACTTTTGTGGCAACCAATAAGAACTTATTCCCTAAATCTTCTGACCACCAGTAAGTACTAACTCTTCCTACTTTTGTGGCAACCAATAAGAACTTATTCCCTAAATCTTCTGACCACCAGTAAGTACTAACTCTTCCTACTTTTGTGGCAACCAATAAGAACTTATTCCCTAAATCTTCTGACCACCAGTAAGTACTAACTCTTTCCTACTTTTGTGGCAACCAATAAGAACTTATTCCCTAAATCTTCTGACCACCAGTAAGTACTAACTCTTCCTACTTTTGTGGCAACCAATAAGAACTTATTCCCTAAATCTTCTGACCACCAGTAAGTACTAACTCTTCCTACTTTTGTGGCAACCAATAAAAACAAGGCTAGTATAGTAGATATCCCCCCATCTCTATGCGAACATTTTGTTTAATTCCCAGATAAAGAAATATACATTGTCAACCGCTCATGACCATGGTATCCCCGCACCATTTAAATTATTTTCTAGTAAAGTAATAGACCCTTTTACACCCTTTTTCCCATTGGATATATTTTGTTTATAGACTAAGTGACACGTGACAGCTGATGAGGTCAGCATCACACCAGCCGCCTTTACTTTCCAAAATATTATTTGGTACCCATTTTAGGCTGGATACTACATTACTGCAGAATACCAAGATGAAAGTAATTAGGGCCAACACTAACCCTCATAATGCTGTGACTGAGTATTTGAAGCTTATCGCTTCATGCCCTTATGCTAGTCTTATTTATCTATCATTGATAAAATGGTGTCAATTCTTCTTTTGTTTTCTGTTAATTCTTTTGGTCTAAGATAGTGTTGAACTCAACAGTGTCTATGCTGAAATTGTTAGACCCTAGAGCAACAAGTTTTTAGTTTCATGGTACTGACAAAATGTAGCTCTGGAAGAGAAGGTGTTATAATAACACCTGGAAAATAAGGGGATAACATTAGAGAAGAATGGGACAGGAAAAGTAATGTGTTCCAAATGTAGTGATATCACATTTAAAGTTGTCTCTAGTTAAGTGATCAACCCTTGTAGTAGAAGCAATGTTCCCTGCCCAGTCCACTTCTCGCTTACAGTGGCATGTCGTGCCTGCCAGTGTTGCATGCTGTCATAATAACAGGGGTTACTTCCCCTCATGTGTTCCAGTCCCCGTTTCAGGGCCCTGCGGAATCTGTTTGGAGCCTACAAGAGTCATGACTGTGGGAAAGTATCAGGTGTCTATGAACTGCTGCTGCGTCAGTACTATGAGACAGGTAGTTTCAGTTTTTCTATCTTGGAAATTACAAGTAATTAATGTAAGTAAAAGTAAAGATCCATTTTCATGCCTTTAGCGTATCGGGCATATGGGAAGAGCACTCATATTTGTAAAGACCAATCGGCACTAGTTGTGTAATGGGGTCAGCATTATGCCAAGTAATTAATGTACTGTCTTATAATTTAAAATTGGCTTGATTTACTAATCTATCTAATGATAGGTGCATCATCATCATCAGGTGCCTTGCCGACTGGCGTGGGGGATCATGATAGGTGCATAGGGGTCTCAATGGCAAAGTGGTCAAGCCATTTTCCTCATGCTCTGAAGATTGTGGATTCATGTCATAGACACGTTGTCTGGTTCATAAGTTCAGTTCTCATGGAGATCCTCTGGGATCATCACTAGGGGTGCAGAGTTCATGCTTTGTGTGACACTTTTGGCAGGTAGCTAGCCTTTCTGTGGAGAGAGACCAGGCCATATGGGATAACACCTGTTGCAATGAAGTCAATCCTACCACTTGAACCACTTAGCTATGACTTATATTTTCATTGATACATCGATTAGCCCATCCACTGTTTTATGTTTATTTATTTATCTAATTATTCACCAGAATATCCATTATCAGTCCATTAATATACATGCATTCATTTATTCATCTATCTACTTATCCACTAATTTGTCCACCTGTTGATCTAGCATAAATTTATTATTTCATTTTTCATTCACTCACTTATTTACCAATTTATCAAAAACCTTTTGGTTTATCCATCCGTAAAGCAATCTTTTCATCCACCTATATTTTTCTCTTACCAATCCATCATCCACCAATCTCCATTTTTTTAATCATCCATTCATATTCATTCACATGTCCATCCATCTATACAATGACAGGTTCTGAGCGTAGACAACGAAAAGTCCTGGACACATCCTTGACCTACGTACGAGGGGAAGAGAACTTGAATGGTTGGAGACCCAGGGGCGACTCACTCTTGTTTGACCACCAGTGGGAGCTGGAGAAGTTGACTCGACTACAAATGGTGTGTTTTGTAAATTTGGCTGCTGTCTTTTGGACAATTATTCATCATCCCTATGTGCTGTGCTAATAATCATAGGCTGTCATGTTTTTGCTCTTCCACATGACCAACAGAATCCTAAATCAGTTTAGTGTTCTTGTCTCATCCCATCCAAATGGTCTAGCCATCAAAATATGTATCTCTTTGCCTTCCCCTTACTCTCTTTCCATGAATCCTGTCAGTTGTAAACTAAGTCCTTGTGTCCATTCCTTCATATAACATGTCTGGAAAACACCAACAGTCAACATATTTTAATTATTGTCCACATCTTTAAGCTTTTTAGATGGAGTTTTCTCTGTCTTCTTCTGCCTCTTCCCTTGTGTTTCCCTCACTTGAAGCCAATTTGTCTATTTGATCTCTTCTGTTAGAATACTTTAAAAACGTTATTTAGCTTCTCATATTCTCAACAGTTTTGCCAAAAACCACATGTCACTGGCTCCAGTTACTTCATCATTTCATTACTGTTGTCCATCATTAGTCTCCTTAGTCTTTTTATAAAAGAATAGCCTTCACAACTTTTCAGAAAGTAGATTTTTCCATTTTCCTGATTTATCCATTTTCTAAAAAATAATTGTAATTGATTTAAATTTTCTCTTGGTCAACATGTCATACTGTCCATTATTTATCACTGTCTACCCTTGAGACTGGAAATAATTGATACTAGGTATAATACAATTTCTAATGTTTATTTTGTTGGAAACTTTACTAACATATATTCACTTTTTTTTAATCCTTAGCTCCTGAGATGCTGCTAATAGGGCATCCTCATCATCCATTAAAACAATCACAGACAGGCAGCTAAACCATCATTACTGCAATGACCAGTTAACAACATTGGTTCTGTTTGCACCTGCACACTGTTTAAGAGGGCTGGATATGATAATATTTACTATTTACAAAAGCATTCGGTGGGGGGTGGTTGTTATTGTGAGAAAATTGAATTTAGCTATGATAACATCGTGCCTTTTATAATTGGGGTCATAGGGTCACAGTGAGTCATCATATTATTTTTTGTGTATGCCCAAGTCATTGTAGTCATTTAATTCTTCACTCCTTTCATGTTTTTGACTACTTTCCTTTAGGTATTAGCAAAAACAGAAATAAAAAAATATATATATATAAAAAAAACCACAAAATGACCAATGTGAGCAGGCAAGCGTGCATGTGTGTTTGTTTTTTTTTCAAACAAATTTTTATCTTTGAAAATTTTCAAGTTGGTTAATTTTTCGCTCTAAAAGGTTTCTGGGGCAAAAGGGTTAAGTTTATACATAAGTAATGTATATTGTCACATAAATGATGAAGTGCTAGGCATATCAGAATAAATGTAGAATGTTCACATTGTTTACTGACAGGTATTTCAGTAACATTACTTGAAATGTACAAAAACATAGTTTAGAGAAATAGTTACTTGTGTGTGGATGATGGTGAGTTGAGTTGATTCAAGAACCGACATCACGGCACTTGAGGCATTCCCATAAGTGCTCTGTCCCCATCTTCAGTAGCCAGTGCAGAGTTCTGATACTAATGGTGCCAGTAGCATTCTGATTAAATGTCTGTCTTGTCTTTCCTCTGATCCTCGAGCATCTGCCAGAACCTCTCGTCACCCCCAATTGCATCAATCTCACCACACTGTGGTGATCCATCTGCTCCTCCGAACTGTACACGCTCTCCTACAAGGCACTAACCACGTCTACCTTATCATGCATCAGTATTCCACCAAGTTGTGCACAGCCAGCCAGTCTGTCTGCCTGTTCATTTCCCAACACACCAGCATTTCCTAGTAAAATAAATCCATACAATACTCCTCACCCGTGTTCTTCGCAGTGAAGCTTGCCACTCTGCATGAAGGGTGCCTGTCCTAACCTTCCTCAGCATGCTTTTTGAGCCAGTCACATGATGGTAAGTGTGACTAGCAAGGTCTGCTTGTGTTAAGAAATGTCTCCCAAAGTTAGTGCATAGGATTTTAGGACCAGTTTTTGACTAGTTGTACTTCAGCTCTAAACACTGAATCCTCCTGTTTCCATATTTAGGTTGAAAGGACCAGACATATGCTTCTGCTTAGGGAGAAGCTAGCAGAGCAGAACAAAGCTTTTGAACTAAGCAAGCTGGATAAAGAAATTGTCAACAGGCAGGCCAAGGTAAATAAACAGTTAAAATATAATTGTTGATTTTCTGCTTTCTCCTTGAATGTTATTTATAATTTTGATTAGATAGGAGGTTACCATGGGTAGACAGGAAAATGAATTAGATGATCTAAGAGTCAGATTAAACACTCACAATTGATTAAAGAAATTAAATGTAGATGTTATCGGGAAAAAAAGCTTGACAACTGAATGACATTTTGCAGACTTTATGTGAAATGATCAAGAGGAAGACAAGGCAATAAATAGCTAGACGACTTTCCTAATTGTAGATGTTGACAGACTATACTGAATCAGTGTGTTTCCTTGTGTACGACTTGAGGAATTGGGAAATGTTGACAGAAGTGTACTAAATTAGCTTGTTCTCTCGTGTACAGCTGTAAGAATTAGTGAATCTCGTTGACTGAAGTTATGAGTTAAATTATCTTCACAGCACTCCTGACACATTCAGGGGCGCTCAGATTCACCTCTCAACTTATTCATCAGCGTCATGCGGTTAATAGTGCCAGTCCTGTGTTGGTTAACAAGTCTTCGTGTGCGTCCGGTGTGCTTCTCATGCTTGGCTGTGCCGATCTTTACTCCCAATTGTCATACTCTTAGCAGTGATGCGAACACGTTGCTTCCAAAATCCTCAGAATGTCTTATCTCTCTAAGGGCAATGACAATGTCTGCGTGATCCATGGGGCGGCCATCTTCAATTAATGCAGCACTTGCCAATCTATCAGCTCTTTCATTACCAACAATGCCTGCATGACAGAAGTGTACTGATTGTTCGCTCGTGTACAGCTTGAGGAATTGGGAAATGTTGAAGATTTGTTGCCTGTCCTAGGAGGCAAGCAAGTGATGCTCTCATTCCCAACATACTTATGAACTTTGCAAGTTGTAGGTGATGATTGTCTACCATCATCTTGACATTTTCTGAGACTTGCTTGCAGTTTTGTAGCATGCAAAATTTGAGGTCTTCAGAAGGTTTCATCACATTCCAGTCTTTCCTGTGTTCCCCAGACTGGGCTCTGTACCAGTCAGAACAAACTATGTCATGTCATAAGTTAGTTACCTTTATTGCCACCCTTCATTCCAAGACAATTCACAAAGGTGTTGAAAAAATCTGGCATTTCTTCAATGAGTCCACTCAAGAGCTTACTGTTCAGGGAAAATAATCCTGCTAGTCTGAAGTTTTTTTTCCTTCTGTCTTTCATCTCAACCTGGGAAGACTTGCTCCTCAGTGGTTGAATTTTTCAGTTAGTTTTTTTAATGGAATTTAAACACACAAAAACAAACAAAAAGACAGTTTCCTCACTAGATTCTTACTAGATATATGCAAGTTGCAGTGCTACCTTTATTTGCTTACCCAGGTACAATGTGGTCACTAGTTAAGGTCTCTTTTTACCCCAGTGGCCCATTCGGAAAATGGGGCTAGATTATTATTTATTTTCACCAACCGGCCCTCAATGGGGGATGTGGTCAAAATCATGCCAGCCATCTTTACTTCCCTGGACTTTACCTGGTACTCATTGAAGGCAGGGTCGACCTATAGTTGGTAGTAGTAGTAATACATTTTACCCCACTAGGAAATCACACAAGCGATAAACACCCGATGACACAAAGTGCCACCATGTGGATGAGGATCACCCGGGGGAGAGATCCAAGAAACCGGGTTCAGCCATTAGACCTTATTTATGGCCTGGCTATATTGCGGCCCCTGGCAAGAGCCAGGGTGGAGCTTCAAAATAACGAACAATTGCATCCCACAAGGAGATGACTAGATGAACTAGAGCTAGTCTGCATACTGTTTATTAATTCTGTTGACATTCGCCCTTTCTGTGACCTTTGATTTTCATGTGACTTCACATTATCCAGAGCCAGGGTCTTAAGAGCACTGAGAAAACTGATCCAAAATCAGATGAAAACCCTAAAGATGTTGATGTCAAGGAGAAGACTGACCAGATGTCAAACCATCGGGTCAGCTTTGAATTTAAGACCGAAGGAGATGCCGAAAAGGAACTTGTTGCCAAATGTTTGTGCTACATGTTGCAGGGGAGACTACCCTTAAAGCCTGCACCAGTCCAGGTTTGTTAATCAACTGATTTCTTAAACCTCCCCACTTCAATGTCACTAACTGAACATCTCTCTTTCAATATCTGACTATTCTAAATCTCACTACTTGATAATCTCACTATTAATGTCCCTGCTGCTTGATAATCACTACTTCATTATCTCACTAATTTACTATCTGACTACTTTACTATCTGACTACTTTATTATCTCACTACTTCAATATGTCACTACTTCATTACCTTAAAACGCCATTGTTTCACTGTTTTAATATATCTCACAGATAAAATTTAGGAGGCCTGTTTGCATACTTTGATAATTCATTGGCTGAATGTTCCATTTAGGCTTGGTAATCTTAGTTTCAGCTTTATAGCAAATGGGTCACCCCACAGTTGCTCCACTCCTGTGCCAACGCAAAATACACAGAATGTCCTCAATGTCACTTGCAGAAAAACTGACACATTTAGGCTACATCTGTGGAAACATTTCAAAATTATCAACTTAAAGCTAAAATTGAGAGGAACAGCTTCATTGCCCCCCAGTTATCCCATATTGCTTGGTCTGTCTCAACAGATTGATTGGCTGCCTGCCAAGAATGCTCTACAAAATACAAACTCCATGGCTCCAGCAACTGTCCCCAGGAATCTCACTAAAATTATTTGTGAAAATGAATGACATGTCTGTTAAATGAAACAGCATCCTTCAGACTGCAAGGCAATAGGCATTACCACTTCACCACGGAAACCTCTCAGAATCATAAAACCCACAAAACAAAATCTCAAGTAAATGTTGAAAATGAAAGACGTATCTGGTCTTGAACAGAATGCAGTGTAGAAATCTGAAGCATAGAAAGGTACAAATATCATAGCTACTCTGTAAATAAACACAGTAACTAACACACTCAAAAATGAAAATACAGAAAGAAGTATTTACATACATGAATGAAAAAAGTTTACTTTCCGCCACAGCAGCAGGAAGAACCTGTGACAAAGCACCTGCGAGTTAAAGTAAAAATTGTGAGATCTTGTATCTTTCTTGTGGCAATTGATGTATGTGAGTTTTGGACTTTACTCAATCAATGAAGAAGAAGAAAAAATAAGCTTTTAAACTGAAATGCTACAGAAAACAAGTCTTTGAATACCCTGGACCAAGAAGAAGAAAAACACTGACATCCTGCATGATCTCAGCATTGAGAAGAATTGACTCATAAACAGCATCCTGTTTATAAAGCTGAGATATTTTAGTTTTGGTTATGATAAATGTCATAGTGACATAAGAGAATGGTTATAGAGGGCACAGTTTCTGGAAAACAGGGCAGAGGCAGACCTCTGTGGAAGTGGATACAAGACATTAAAGATGCATCGGCTATGAAAGCACATAGGGCTGGAGAATTGGCTACAGGAAGAGAGATTTCCGGGTCATGCCATGACTAGAGAGATGTTCCGTAAAGGACCTGCTTCTTGGTGATTATGATCCCATCAATCCATGGGCACAAGAGAAACATTTAGCACAGAGATACAAACCAGATAGCATGTGTATTTATTCTAAATGTTCAAGATCAAGTTAACAGAAGAAAGAAAAAAGATAAAATATTGCATGAAATTGCCAGAAACCTGTAGAATGACGAATATGATGGTTCTTGTTGCTATCGCAGCAGGCGGACTCCATGCTCAGCTCCACAACAACAGTCACGTCTGATGAAGGGGAAGGTAGTTCTGACTCTATGGGTTCCAGCATCACCAGTTCACAGGCTTCTGATCTCATCAAGTCAGTTGTCATCGTGTTTCACTGTTCTTGTTTTACTGTTATTATTTTTACTATTCTTGTTTTTACAGTTCTTGTTTCACTTTTCTTGTTTCACTGCTCTTGTTTTACTGTTTTTTGTTTTACTGTTCTTGTTTCACTTTTCTTGATTAACTGTTCTTGTTTCAATGTTTTTGTTTTAGTGTTGTTTTACTGTTCTAGTTACATTGTTCTTATTTTAGTGTACTTATTTTACTGTTCTTGTTTCATTTTTCTTGTTTCACTGTTCTTGTTTTTACTGTTCTTGTTTTTACTGTTCTTGTTTTGCTATTCATATTTTACTGTTCTTGTTTCACTGTTCTTGTTTTATTCACTAGACATAACAATCTACCAGTCAAAATGTTCTCAGTTTCAATTGCATGACAGTCTAAATGTTCTCAGTTTCAATTGTTTACCAGTTTAAATGTTCTCAGTTTCAATTGTTTACCAGTTTAAATGTTCTCAGTTTCAATTGCCTGCCAGTCTACATTTTCTCAGTTTCAATTGCCTGTCAGTTTAAATGTTCTCAGTTTCAATTGCCTGCCAGTTTAAATGTTCTCAGTTTCAATTGTTTATCAGTTTAAATGTTCTCAGTTTCAATTGTTTATCAGTTTAAATGTTCTCAGTTTCAATCGTTTACCAGTTTAAATGCTTTCAGTTTCAATTGTCTACCAATTTAAATGTTCTTTGTTTCAATTGTCTACCAGTTTAAATGTTCTCAGTTTCAATTGTTTATCAGTTTAAATGTTCTCAGTTTCAATCGTTTACCAGTTTAAATGTTCTCAGTTTCAATTGTTTACCAGTTTAAATGTTCTCAGTTTCAATTGCCTGCCAGTCTACATTTTCTCAGTTTCAATTGCCTGTCAGTTTAAATGTTCTCAGTTTCAATTGCCTGCCAGTTTAAATGTTCTCAGTTTCAATTGTTTATCAGTTTAAATGTTCTCAGTTTCAATTGTTTATCAGTTTAAATGTTCTGTTTCAATCGTTTACCAGTTTAAATGCTTTCAGTTTCAATTGTCTACCAATTTAAATGTTCTTTGTTTCAATTGTCTACCAGTTTAAATGTTCTCAGTTTCAATTGTTTATCAGTTTAAATGTTCTCAGTTTCAATCGTTTACCAGTTTAAATGCTTTCAGTTTCAATTATCTACCAATTTAAATGTTCTTTGTTTCATTTGTCTACCAGTTTAAAGGTTCTTAGTTTCAATAACCATTATCCCTCAGACACTGACTTTATATTTGTAGATTGTTTATAGAATCTTTAAATCTCTTATGTGGATGTGGAAAGTGAGTGAAAAATCATTACGATAAATTTCTAAGAATACATTTTAGACAAATCCCATAGACTAGTTTTTTGGAGTGTGTAATCTAACTGGATATGTCTATTATCTAACTGAGAGAACAGAAAATTATAATTTTCACACAAGTTTGCATTCTCAAACATATATTTATCATCTCTTCTATAGATCAGTCCCCATTCAAGTGAGCAAGTCATGTGACAGTTTGCTGGCTTCGACCCCATCCCCTTCAACGGAATCTGCAGACCGCAAGCTGTCCCTGCCAATCAAAGCCATCAACCTGGACACTCCTATGTTTGTTCCTGATATTGAGGAAATCAGAGCTAGTCCAGTCGTGTCCAGAAGAGGCTATCTCAACTTTTTTGATGATTTCAATAATGGCTGGATCAAGAAATTTGTGGTAAGTATAAGGAAAGCATAAAGATAACTTATCAAAAACATCGGAAGCAGGCAGTAAGTATTTTTGAGGGGTCACTTAATAAGAAGAGAGAAACTGGAACGTGACATCTATAAATATTTATCCTCCGCTGTTAGAGATATATGGAGAGGCATAATCATCCGTACCAGTAAACATGCGACCTAATGCTGAAATACACAAGAGAGGAAGGTAGATCTGGGCAAATGAATAGGATACATAGTTGTTACATGGATATGTGGTGTCTCCTGAGAAAGCTCAGTGTAGTAACTGTAGCCACAGCTGTAATGCAATCCCATAATCCTACTGACCAGTTTTCTGCATTGCTTTCATTAAATAAAATGTCTACATATTATTATTTGTTTTTAAATGTTGTTCTATATGATCGATTTACACAGTTCATGATCTGTCTTTTTCTGTCTAACATGCCAGATTGTACGCCGACCATATGTGTATGTCTACAACAGTGAGAAGGATCCGGTTGTCAGAGGCATAATCAACCTGGCCACATCCAACATTGAATACTCAGAAGATCAGCAGGCTGTGCTCAAGGTATGTAGTTGTGGCCTAATTGTTGACAGTAGACTCTAGACATTAAAGAAATCTTGGAAACAAAAATACATGAGGCAGGAAAAAAGATGATGGATAAAACATCTTTCCAAAAGGTGTTAACAAAAGATGGCTGATTTTTAATCAGGTTGGCACCTGGCACCATCAATGTGAAAACTCTTACTGGTAATGAAGAAGGAAACAGTGAATGCCCCAATTGCAGTTACATCTATTCTTTATTTATTTATTCATTCATTCATTCAGTTCAAAATATTGTGATAAGGGGAATATTCTGCAAAATCTAGAAGTTGATGATGATGATGATTTTGATGATGATGATGACAGAGGCGTATGGTGCGAGCCTTGCTTTGTATTCATGGCCTTGAATATTCCATCTATCCATTTCTTGCATGGCTGACCTCTAGTCCTTTTTCCATAGTCTCTAAGTGACTGAGCTCTGTAGGATGCACTATCTTGTGGTCATCTTGTCCCATGCCCAAACCATTTGATCTGTTGTCTTTTTATGTAGTTCAGCACTGGTTCGGTCTCACTTCTTTCTTTCTTCTTTTGTCAAAATCTGCTTGTGCCGCTAGGCGTCGCAGTCTATCAGATGATCGGCAACCGAGCTAGGGCGCGCTCAGTCGCTTCATATGCCGTGATGTTATGAAGTTTCAAGTTGTCCGTGACTCCTTTAATCCATCTTCTTCTTGGTCTTCCCCTGCCTCTTGGTGTTTCGATTTTCATGTTGTATGCTGTTGATGCTGGCATCGTTGGTTCCATTCTCACTAGGTGACCAAACCATTTCATTCTTTGCTTCTCAATAAATTTAACGATGGGTATGGTTCCAATAGTTCTTGTAATCACATCGTTTCTCACTCGATCTCTTCTGGTTTTATTCGCAGCCATTCTCAAACATCTCATTTCACAGGTGGTTAGTCTTCTCTCGTGTTCTTATGTTAATGCCCAAGTCTGACATTGATAACCTAATGTCAGTATAAAGATTGTATTTATAATTTGTCTTTTTATCTCAGCTGGGACAGCAGGGTGTTTTAAAATTGGGGCAAGCTGGTATGCGACATTGTTGGCTTGTTGGATTCTTGCTTCGATCTCTCTGTCTATTTTACCATTGAATGTAAAGATACTTCCCAAGTATATAAATTCTTGCACTTGTTTTAGGCTGTGATCTAGAATCTTTATGTTGATGGTCTCTTGCTCTCTACTTATGCTCATGACTTCTGTCTTTTCAGTATTGAGCTTGAGGCAACTGTCGTGTAGTAGGTTTATGTGGTCTTGCAGCTGTTTACTATCACTGTGAAAAATGCATTGATCGTCGGCAAAGAGCAGCTCATTGAAGTCCTCCTGTTTATCGACATCTGTTGGTGTTATGTCTATTTTATTAATATTGTCTCACTAGTTTCCTGATATCATCATATCATGTTCTTCCTGTTACATTTAGAATTTAAGGTAGACATTTCCTTTCTTCTGTCTGAACTGTTCAACAGTTAAAAACCATGACATGAAACAAACAAAAATCTGTCAACAAAATTGGTATGTCTGTTTGGCTGTTTGCAGTGAAAATATGTCTGAAGCATGTTTACATTGTTTACTCTTATACTCTCAGACCCAGAATGCATTTTCTGTGATGACCAGACATCGCTGCTTCCTCCTGCAGACGGTCGATGACAAAGATTTCCATGACTGGTTGTATGCTGTAAACCCTCTCTTGGCTGGGCAGATCAGGTAAACTCCACTGAGTATTTCAGTACACAATGATGTAGTTTATGTTTTGTAGTTTGTGGTGCTTGCATACATGTATACACTATGGAGAATAGGGTGAGGGAATATACAGCCTGGAGGCTGCATATGATTATTTGATCAAGCCCTGCAAGGCAACCACACTTACATTTCTGACCAACGTTATGACGTTTCTCGGGGTGAGGTTCGATCGCAGCTTGTCATTCAGGGAACACGTTGACCATGTGATAACAAAAGCACGCAAAGGTCTATCTGCAATGAGGATTATGGCTGCTTCCAACATTGAGCAAAGACTACTAATACTTCTATTCTACGGTCTGGTCCTTTTCCCCATTGAATACGCTCTGGCCATCCTCACTGTCAGTGCTACCCAGATTGAACGACTCGAAAAGGTGCAAAATGAAGCCATGCGCATTATTTTGGGATGTACTAGAGACACATCCTGTGGAGCAATGAGGTATCTACTTGACTTTCCAACAATGAACCAAAGGATCAGGATGTGGAGGGCTCGGACATATCTCAAAATATGTGCTGATAAGAAACACACACTGCATCAAGCGCTTTTTAGTGAAAAGGGCGACAGACTGAAGAGGGGGAAATCGTGGCTAGGTCGGGCAGAAGATGTTATAGGCAAATATGGCAGCCTAACCAAACATCATACCTGGTGCAGAATGGATACCTGTGCCTCAGGCGTTTATTTGTACATTTTCCTGTATTGTCACACTCAACAGGCGATGTAGAGAAGAGAATCCTGTTGCTGTTAATGCAGAGGTCAACGCTCTCATCGGTGAAAATTCAGACGAAGCAGATGCAATAATCTATACAGACGGATCCGTTATACGCCAAAGAAGAAGCGCATGGGCATTTACAGCACGCTCAGCGGGCAGAACAGTCAAAGAAGCCAACGGCGCCTTCTCCATGACAACCAGCAGCATGACGATGGAGGTGATGGCAGTGACACAAGCGCTTGCCTGGCTTGAAACACAAAAAATACACCCGCGTGTGTATACTCAGTGATTCAATGAGTATGATCCGGAGGGTTCAGGCAGGTTCAGTGCGAAGACAATGGCTTGAATCATTACAGAAGTCCACTGTCCGTGGAGTCACCTTTTATTTTTGTTCCGGGATACGCAGGCGTCGATGGAAATGAAAGAGCTGACAGGTTGGCTGGATCCGCTATAACTACCGACGGTCAGCCTATGGATCATGCTGATATTATCAATGCCCTCAGAGAAATGGGAAGGATAGACGACTTTGGTGGCAGTGAATCCACATCACTCGCCAGAATGGCAGACTTGGGAATTAAGATCGGCACAGCAAAAAACGAGACGCACACCAGCTACGCCAGAAGACTTGTTAATCAACATAGAACTGGTACTATTAGCCATCGGACGTTGGGGTTCATACTGAGGGGAGGATCTGAGCACCTATGGACATGTCCGGAGTGCAATGAGGATAACCCAACTAACTAACTAACTAAATTTCTGACCAAACGTAGAAAGCTAATTTTAAGGTAATAGTTTTGCATGGCTTGCAAATGGTGTTATGAATATACAAATGGCCTTTGACAGAAAATGATTCCCTTCTGCTGCTGTATGACTTTCTTGAATTTTGCATTCTTGTGAGCAATTAGTTTTTGTGTCCTAATCTGAGAAATAGTAACTTAACTTTGTCTTATCTGGCACATACTAAATAAATCTGTAACAGATAATTTTCTGAACGAACATATTAGATATTTTTTGGGGGGTAAAATGCAGCTGGAAAATTTTATTGTTGCACTTTCTTTGGATAACTTCTCTCCATTTATTTCTTGGTATATAACAGTCAACTAAATATACAGGGAAAAGTCTATTCTGTGGACAGATAAAACAACCCAGATATCAAACTCTACAGAGTTCTGTGGGAATTGAAAAAGACAGTGAAGTTCTTATGGAAAAAAAACTGCCCATGCAGACATTGTCTGTTTGATTCCAAGAAAATGAAAAGAGGCATAATTCCGGGATTAGTTGATAAAGCATGTCTGAGTAGTTCTTGCCCTTGAATCTCAGTCGGTGCTTTATGTGTTGTTTATATTTGGTCAGAGTAATCTGAAGAAATCTGGTTTTCTTAGTAGTTGTGTCTACTTTGTCAGTATATTTCTTTTGTTTGCATTAAAAATAATTTGGGAATAAGTTTTTTTTTTTTAATACTGTCCATGTGTTTTTATTAATTATTTACTTGGGATGCTTAAGTAGATGTCATAATCAAATAATGTGTAAAAAGTGTGAGATAAGAATGGCAGAAATTTGCACTGACTTATTCTCTTCTTCCTCTCAGCATTCACCGAATATAAACTTTGGCAGAAAGTTCTGGTTGTTCATCCACTTCTGGTCTTGTTCTAGAATTTGAGTTTTATGTGCACATCCATTTTACAGACTATAGGTTCCTTGCCTCTTAGGCAGATGTACTCAGATTAAAAGGAAAATTTCCAATTGGTTGCCTCCTTTTATGACATCCTTGTTGGAAAGGAGGGGGGGGGGGGGGGGGGGGGGGGGGGGGGGGGGGGGGGGGGGGGGGGCAGTTGGTTTTTTTTTTTTATGTTTCCAAAATTTAGCCTCAGAATCAACATGGGTAAACTTGTGATCCTGATTTGAACCCTGTGGTGATACCAAATTTTCATTTCTGTCACACAGTTAATGATGTGTAATCAGCTGTGGCTTTTGTCTTCTTTGTTGACCCTCAGTGTCTACATCAGTGATTCAGTATTCACCCTCAGTGTCTACATCAGTGATTCAGTATTCACCCTCAGTGTCTACATCAGTGATTCAGTATTCACCCTCAGTGTCTACATCAGTGATTCAGTATTCACCCTCAGTGTCTACATCAGTGATTTAGTGTTCACCCTCAGTGTCTACATCAGTGATTCAGTATTCACCCTCAGTATCTACATCAATGATTTAGTGTTCACCCTCAGTGTCTACATCAATGATTCAGTGTTCACCCTCAGTGTCTACATCAGTGATTCAGTGTTCACCCTCAGTGTCTACATCAGTGATTCAGTATTCACCCTCAGTGTCTACATCAGTGATTCAGTTTTCACCCTCAGTGTCTACATCAGTGATTTAGTATTCACCCTCAGTGTCTACATCAGTGATTCAGTATTCACCCTCAGTGTCTACATCAGTGATTTAGTATTCACCCTCAGTGTCTACATCAATGATTCAGTGTTCACCCTCAGTGTCTACATCAATGATTCAGTGTTCACCCTCAGTGTCTACATCAATGATTCAGTGTTCACCCTCAGTGACTACATCAGTGATTTAGTGTTCACCCTCAGTGTCTACATCAGTGATTCAGTGTTCACCCTCAGTGTCTTCATCAAAGATTTAGTGTTCACCCTCAGTATCTACATCAATGATTTAGTGTTCACCCTCAGTGTCTACATCAGTGATTCAGTGTTGACCCTAAGTGTCTACATCAGTGATTCAGTGTTGACCCTAAGTGTCTACATCAGTGATTCAGTGTTGACCCTCAGTGTCTACATCAGTGATTCAAACAAAGGCACAAAGATCTAGCATGTCCATGTAGTTTTTCAAAGAAATATATTGGCAGTTGATTTTTGTTATGTACTATAGTTAATATGGCGGCGTCCGTGGCTAAGGCGTTGCGAGTCCGACTCGTGAGCCAGCGTACCGCGATCGAAACCCACTGCAGGCTGCATGGATATTTGTCGTGGTATGGAGACGTCGCAGGTCGACCCAGCCTCAAATGGGTACCAGGATGGGCTGTCCTGGTGACCACATTACCCACAGTGCTGATGGTCTGTAAAAATATGGGACGCTCTGCCCATATGCCCGATGCGCCGAAAGGCGTGAAAAGGGATCTTTACTTTTTTTTTTTTTTTTTAATAGTTAATATATATTGATGCTTTTATTGCGGTAACATTTTCTAGTTCATTAAATACCATAGGCAGCTTTCTACAGATTTGACTACTATATTTCTGACAAATTTTTCATGGCCTAAGTGTTAATAGAATATTTGTTTCACGTTTACAGGTCAAAGTTATCTCGCAGAAAGGAACCAATGAAAATCTGAGAGAACTCGACAGTATTTAACCACAACATGGAGACCTCATGTGCTGAGAAAACTTTGTCACTGGAAGTCCGCGTTTGCTAGTTTGTCAGCCACATGCTTAGAATTAGCTGTTTATGATATCCCAGTGTTCATTTTTTTTGTAATTATTTTTTCTGAGGCTCCCTGTAGTAGTTCACCTTCAGCTTGTTAATTTATTTGGGCACATTTGTGAAGTTCCCTTGTTATTTTGAGAAAGCCATATTCTTTTGCCTTTTAAATTTTTTGTTTCTACTGCAGTCACTGATTTCAAAAATATATCCTGGCTTGTGCATTTTCTGAAAACAATTAAATATGAAATTCAGCATGATTGTCTAGCATAAAATAACAATCAGCGCAAAGAATGTGGTGTAATTATTAACTTAGTAATAATACTTTTCCCGCTATAGAAAACATAATTTGCAATGTTACCTGTATATGTAACATGTAACACCCAACTCTATGTTCATCAAGATATGTTAGATTATATTTTATTATATATTTATTTTTAGATCAAATGCTTTTGCAGCATAAGACAATCATGATCAGTACAAAGAAACCTTTGATATAAAGCAAATTCATTCCCACCTATGCTACCAGTGCCAGACATGGTCACTCTCAACAAACTATAAAGAAAACCATGGAAGTGAGATGTCTGAGAATGGGTGCAGGAGTGATCAGAAGAGATCAAATCAGCAATGAGGTCGTTAGAAAACAAAATCAGCATAGAACCATTTATAAATGATATACAATGACAGTAAATCAAATTAATTGCCCATTTAGAGAGAATGCCTTGTGATTCCATACCATACAAGGCATACAAAAAAAGAGCATGAGATAGACGCACAGCATGAGATAGACAAGATGGAAAGATAATATCAGAAAAACTCTAGAACAGCCAGATGTTGACCATACCACAAACTAAGTTCTAATTGGTCTATAAACATATGAGGCTAGCATTGTATACCTAATGTGTTGCTGGCATAAAATGGTTCTTTGGCAAGCAAAGATCCCTTTTCACACCTTTAGGCGCATCGGGCATATGGGAAGAGCACCCATATTTTTACAGACCAATTGGCACTAGGTGGGTAATGTAGTCAGCAATACAGCGGTTGTCTTTACTTCGCTAGGACATACATCCTGGTACCATTCAGGCTGGGTCAATCTGCGACACCCCATACCATGATAAAGATCCACGCAGCCAGCAGTGGGTTTTGATTGTGGTACTTTGGAATTCCAACGCCTAAGCAAAGGATGCTGCGGTCCTTTAATTTACTTTTTTATATTTAAAAAAAAAAAAAAACTGGCAAAAAAGGTGGTTTGGCCATGTAACAGGATTATCACTACCAGCAGCGCCCAAAAGCTTTAGCATTTAGGAACAGAAATAGAACAAGCTATTCCACACCCCCCCCCCCCAACCCCCAGAAGTGGTGGGCTGACCAGAGCTGTTGTGATGCAGTTGCCCATATATCTGTCTTGTATGCTCAGGGGCCATATGTTAAAATCCCTGTCAAAGCAGGGATCTGTTTATAAATGGGTTCCCAGACACACCTAGCCCAAAAATGGTATCAGGAAACGTGTTGGGAAATAAAGGTGATCGGGCTATATTTAGCACATCACACACTGATCTTTTAAAGTATGTGTTTAGTCCTTGGTCGAGCACTTACTTGAGTATTCTTATTAAAGTGCTGAGCACAATTCAAATATATTGTTGGGATCAGTAACTGCATGAATGACAGGGAGCCAGTTGAACAGTTATAATCATCGAGTGTTCAGTTTTAGCTCAGAAATTAACGGGTACAGTTTCGCAAAGTGCTGTAGATTTTATGGTAGTTTTTGTGAAAAGGAAGTTGAATTCTAGTAAATATTGAATGCAAACAGAAAAAAACAACATCAAAATTCAAGGAAAAACCTGCACATTTCTAACAATTTTTCATGATTAGCATTTCTGGAACGATTACGTCAGTTGATATTTACTAAATTCTTACATTTTGCATGTAAACTCATGGCTGTATTTTATGAAAATATTAAAATAAATGTTAGTAGTGCAAGGAAGTATTTGATTTTACAATTTTACAGAACATACTTTGGTGTTATTTCCAAAATGGAAAAAAATTTAAAGCAACCAAATTGAAAGTTTTTTCTTTTCTTTTTACATAAAATATAATCTTAATTGAATATGATGCTTTTATCTCGTAATCTGGTATTTGTGCAATTTAATGTTGTCTCTGTAGCCATTCTGTCAGTATCATCATTAATGTCAATTTTGTGTATATGTAGATATCTTATTGTTACGAAAAACAAAATTTTATATGTGATGTATTGATGTGATTTTGTTCTACAGTTTATTGGTAAAACCTGGCCAAATTGATAAAACCACATTTAGTTGGAGCATTTATTATTGATGTCTGACTTAATTATTTGTTTTTTTTATCACCTATATCAATTAGGGTTTGGTCTAATCACCAGTATATTTTGTAACGGCACGTATTCATTCTTTAAAGAAGTCTACAAGGGAAACAACTACAAAAGACAGTTTTAAAATAAGAAATCTCTAAGCAGATAAGAGTTTTAAGCTTTTGTTGTCTAACAAAAAAACAAAACAAAAAAGACACATAGGAAGAAGAATATATGTGTCCCTTTCAGAGAGGGAAAAAAACAGTTTTGCTGTCTTTAAAAATAACACACAGAAGATCATTTGTGTCACTTTCAGAGTGGCATATTAATCTTTTTGCTGTCTTCAAAAACTACACACAGAAGACCATTGTGTCACTTTCAGAGTGGCATATTTATCTTTTTGCTGTCTTCAAAAACTACACACAAAAGATAATTTATGTCACTTTCAGAGCAGGAAAAGGATGATTGTCATAAATGTCCTAAATGTCATAAAAAGAACCTAAAGTCACTGAAGATGTTAATTATGTTAATGATGACTATGATTGATCTGCCCCAATATGAGACTCAATTTTTGGGGGGTTAGTTTAAAGCCCTACCCTGGCTGTCATCAGGGCTCCAAATATAACCTGATGGTTAAACGCGGTTTCTAGGATATGTGCCATGTTATTCTCATCTGAATGGTGATACTTTGTCACCAGGTGATTAACGCTCGTTGTGAGGTCCTGGTGGGGGTTAAATCTCAGTCATAATAATAATGAAAAGAGGTGTTTATAGAAATCTATCACCAACTTTTACAAGCCCAGCTTGTCCTGTTATCCAGTCATGTCTCAGTGTTTACAATGATGAGTAGGAATAGTATATTTTTTCTAATATATGTGAACCTATCTTGTCTCAGTTATTCAAGTTTTCACTACTTTTATATTGGGCTGCAGGTTACATTGTCAATGCAGGATGTCCTAACACAGTCGTCTCCAACCTTTTTCAGGTGCCCCCACCCACCTTAGTATATGGCAAGACCCAGCACCACTTCTCCTCCCCCCCCCCCCCCCCCCCCCCCCCCCCATCCAGCATAAAAAAGTTTGATTAAAAAGAGGAGGACAAAAAGAAAAATCCTAAGCACTGTTAAGAAAAACATGGAAATAACAGTATAGATATAAATCAAAGTATTAAACAACAGAAGAAAAGAAATCACCCACAACTGGTAGTTTAGTGTCCAAATATCAATGTGATGGTTAAAACTGTTTTCTTCTGATGATATCTCTATTTTTGGTCTCATATTGGACAAGGAACACTGGAGATCACTATCCACATCAAGCTGGCAATGCCATTTTATTTTCATGACTGTTAAGACTGGAAATCCAGATTATTACAAGTACAAATTTTCTCAGTTTTAACATTTCTTAACACCTCCCTTGAAACTTCCTCACTCACTCCCCCCCCCCCCCCCACCCCAAGGGGGCACGCCACAGGTTGAAGACCGCTGCCCTAATATAATATATTAGAAGACAGGAGATTACCCAGAAAAAGTGAGCATTCCGTAATAAAAAAAAAGACAACAGAAAAGAATAAACAGTTTTAGACAAACTATTATCAAATAATGTCTTATTTTATTGAACAACTCCCCCCCCCCCCCCCCCCCCCCTTTTCCTCAAAAAATGGGGATGCCATGTAATGGCTCCCATCTTTAAATCCATTTTTGTGATCACCTAAAGGGTTTCCCAGCAATCCTTGTGACCTTGAACAGTTGTTTTTGCCAACAATATAACATTCCATTTAGTGAAGTATTAACCATCATTATGTCAAATATAACCTTCATTTCTGGCAAATTGTTATTCTTAATATAATAGATGCTTTCGTATTCAGGTATGTTGGAAAAATCAGCCACTCTGGCATGAGATCCACTTAAACATTTGTATTAGAATGGTATCAAAGAAATCTTAATTCCTGTTTGAATTTTGAAATAAAAATTATTACAATTATCAAACTGATGTATTACTTTCAGCCTAGTCTGATGAACATTCACTCTGTGATGGCCAAGGTTCTTCTTTGCTCTGCTGAATAACTGTGTAAGTCGACCTATTTACACTATCCATTAAAATGTTGGAACTGAGAAGGCTAACCCGGTGAACAACTGCCTGATGAAATTAAATATGTTGGCCGAAAGGTACAAATATCACAGCTGTGCTGTAAACAGGCACAATGTAAATTATATCACTCAGACAAACAATGAAGAAAAAGCATTTTTGGAAAACGGCTGAAGTCAAAATACTTTCTCTATTGACAATACAAAGAGTATTCCAGTTACTGCAGTAGAAAATGTTCCTGATCTGAGAAAAAAGATTAAGCTTTTATACTTCTAATTTACTTGACAGGTTTTTTTTTAATTTTTATTTGGTCACGTTGTTGTCAAATTGTCCTCCAGATCAGGCTGAATTTGAAAGGAAACTTGCATTAACCTGGCAAATAATATAAGTATGAGATGCATTTTCTTTCAGACGGTGTGAAGAACTAACGCAAATCCAAAGAAAACGTTTCAGGGCAGTTGGTGTAATGTTTTAGCAAAGAAAATTTCATTTAAGGCAGGGCAC